ACAATGTGTGGATGCAACTAAGGTGTGTTAAGGGGAAATTATAGCATTAAATACTTATATTAGAAAAGAAGAAAGGTCTAACAGTGATGTTCAAAACTTTTAAAAATTAGAAAAAATAAAAGAGCAAATTACACCCAGAGTAAGCAGAAGGAAGGAAATAATAAAGGTAAGAGTGAATATCAATAAAATAGAAAGTATAAACAATAGAAAAAAATCAATGAAACTTTTTTTTAAAAAAGATCATTAAGGGCTGGCTGAGTGGCGCACTGGTTAAGAGCTGGCTTGGGACGCCAGAGGGGCCCGGTTCAGATCCCACATATGAGGGCCAGTGACACTGCCCTCTACAGCTAAGATGCTGAACAACAGCTCAACCTGGAGCTGGGCTGCTGTGCGTCGCTGGTGATGGCTGTAGGCTGCAGCCCTTGCTGCAGTGGGTTGCCATGGGCTATAGTGAGCGACCAGCAGCAGCTGTGAGCAGGCGTCCAAAAGCCAGTGACTGATCTGCTTCTCCCGGGAAGAGCGCAATGATGGTGCCAACTTGGGCCAGTGAGGCAACGTCCTCCACAACTAGACTGAAAAACAAAAGGAGAGCAACTTGTCTGTTCCCTTACCCCCAATTCCCCAGCGCTGTTCTCATCCCCTAATTTCCCAATAAAAATCTTCCCAAAAAAATCATTAAGGGGGCCAGCCAAGTGGCTCAGTTGGTTAAGAGCTTGCTCAAGAGCACGAGCTCTGAGCAACAGGGTCGCCAATTCGATTCCCACATGGGCCAGTGAGCTGTGCCCGAGCTAAGCTGCCGCTGAGCTGCTAACAGGTGGTAGGATGGCTCAGCTGGTGAGAGCAGTGCTCCTAACAACAAGGTTGCCTGTTCAAGATGGTAGGCTATGCCCGCCTGCAACTAATTGAACACAGTACCTTGAGCTGAGTGGCATGACTGGACTTGGAGCTGAGCTTGCTGTGCCCTCCACAACTAAGATTGAAGGACAACAACTTGGCTGTTCCCCTTCCCCTATTTCCCAACACTGTTCCTCTCCAATTCTTCAATAAAATCTTTTTTTAAAGATTTTTTTATTGGGGAATTGAGGGCTAGGAACAGCCCTGGGGAATTGGGGGAAGGGGAACAGACAAGTTGCTGTCCTTTTGTTCTTCAGTCTAGTTGTGGAGGACGTTGCTTCACTGGCCCAAGTTGGCACCATCATTGTGCTCTTCTGGGCGAGGCAGATTAGTCACCAGCTTCTGGACAGCCGCTCACTGAGGCTGCTGGCCGCTCCCCCTGGCTGCTGGCTACACACGGTAGCCCATGGCAACCCACTGCCGCAGGGGCGGCAGCCTAGCCGTCGCCGGTGACTCACAGCAGCCCAGCTCCAGGTTGAGCTGTTGTTCAGCATCTTAGCTGTAGAGGGCAGTGTCACTGGCCCTCATATGTGGGATCTGAACCGGGCCCCTCTGGCATCCCAAGCCAGCTCTTAGCCAACGTGCCACTCTGCCAGCCCTCTAATAAAATCTTAAAAAAAAATCGTTAAAGCCTTACAAGCAAAAACAGCTTTGCAGATATCATTAAGGACCTTGAGATGGGGAAATTATCCTGGATTATTCAGTGGAACCAATCTAATCCCATGGGTCTTTAAAACTGGAGAAACTTCCCTGGCTGAATCAGAGAGATGAGACCAAAGAAGAAGGAAAAGAAATTTGAAGCATGAGAGGGCTTTGACTGGCCACCAATGGTTTTGAAGATAGAGGAAGGAATGTGGCGAGGAATGTGAGTGACCTCTAGAAGCTCCTGTTCCCAACTAAGGTAAACACCCTCCCCAAGGTCCTTAGACCTGTTTCCTGAACTTTCCAAAGTGGCTTTTAGCTTCTTCTCTGTCTTCCCTTGTAGAATATGAGCTTTCTGATGGCAAGACCTGCTTAAGTCTTCCTTACTACTGCCTAGCAGTTAATGGTTTCTGAATGAATTCTTTAATGAAAACAAAACAAGAAAAAAGACTTTCAAAGAGGAGGATATCCATAAGGCTTATGAGTATATGAAACATGAAAAGGTGCTCAACTTCACTAATCTTCAAAGAAATACATATGAAAACCACAATGAGATATCATCTTATACCATATGATCCGGCAATTCCATTTCTGGTTATAAATGCAAAAGAATAGAAAGCAGGATCTCAAAGAGGTATTTGCACACCCTATTTCATCGCAGCATTATTCACAGTAGTTCAGATGCAGAAGCAACCCAATGTCCATCAAAAGATGAATGAATAAGTAAAATATGTTACCTATATACAATGGAATATTATTCAGCCTTGAAAAATAAGGAAATCCTGTCACATGCTACAACACAGGTGAAATGTGAGGACATTATGCTAAGTGAAATAACGTAGTGACAGAAAGACAAATACTGTATGATTCCACTTATATGAGCTCTCTAAGAAATAAAGGGCCACTTAAAGTAGTCAAACTCATTGAAACAAAAAGTAGAATGTTGGTTGCCGAGGGCTGGGAGCAAGGAGGAATGGGGAGTTGTTGCTCTGTGGGTATAGGTTTAAGTTTTGCAATCTGAAAAATTTCCAGAGATTTCTTGCACAAATGTGAATATAGCCAACTACTGCACTGTACACTTAAGATGGTTAAGATAGTAAGTTTTATGTTATGTGTTTTTACTACAATTTAAAGAATACACACACACACACACACACACACATTGCAACATCACTATAAACCCACCAGAACGACTAAAATAAACAAGATAGACAATAGCAGGTATTAGAAAGGATATAGAGAAACTGGATCTCATACATTGCTGGTGGGAGTATAATTTGGTCAACCACTTTGGAAAACTGTTATTATCTAGCAAAGATAAACACATCCCTACCCAATGACCCAGCATTTCTATTCCCAAGTCTCTAAGTGCGGGTGTCCATTAAAAGACACAGACACAAATGCTCACAGCATATTTTCATAATAGCTCCAAACTAGAAACAACCCACATCTCCACCAAGAGAAGACTGGATAAATATATTGGGATATATTCATACAATGGGATATGACATTTAATGGAATATGGCAATAAAATAGAATAACCATTGTTATATACAGCAACATGGGTGAGTCCCACATACATAATACTGAGCAGATGAAGCCAAACACAAAAGAATACAGACCATAACTTTATTTATATGAAGTTCAAGGACAGACAAAACGAATCTATTGTGATGGAAGACAGAATTATGGTTATTTCTGGGAGGGGTATTGACTAGAATGCTATTATTATAAGGAGTTACAAGGGAATCTTTCTAGTAGGTTGGAAATACCCTGATCTATGTGGTGATTACACACATGTATACACATGCAAAACTACATTGAGCCATATACTTAACATCAGTGCTCTTTGCTGCATTGATACTATACATCAATAAAAGTTACAGAAAAGGAAAATAGAAAAATAGACTCGTTCATGGAAGCAAAATTTAATTGTATCATATTTCTATATTCATATTTAAGTGGCTATAAAGTAAAATCACCATTTGGATGCCTTTTTCCTTGGCTGTACAAGCTCACCAGAACCTGCAAACCAGAGCAGGATACAGAGGCAAAACAGCACCCAGCTTGCACCTCCATTTTACAGAGGAAATAAACTGAGACCAATAGAGGAGGAGGGGTTGCAGGCTAAAGTTCCACAATAAGTTAGTGACAGAGCCAGGTCTAGAACTCAGATCTCGGACACACCTGGACAACCATGAGCAGAAGGGGGCTGGATGTGAGTGGGTGGCCAGCCCTACCTGGCCAAGGAGGAAGATGTCGGATCTTACGCCAGGTAGGCAGGGCAAACTCCTGGAGATCAGTCAGGAAGATTAGAACTCCAACTATTTGTGGTAGTTTCACTGATTTTAAGTAAGTTGGAACCTCTAGTTGGGTTTCAGAGAGAAATAAAGAGAGGCGCCTGCAGTTTCAGGATGACACTCAAGGAACCCCAAAGGCCAACAAAGGGAACCTAAGTGCTCAGAGGGAACGTGAATCTTCCAAGCTTTTCTTTTGACCTTGGCCAAGGTCATTCCCTCTGGCCTCATTCCTCTGTTCATTCAGTGGGGGAGAATTACATTTAAGGCACAGGGAACAGAGGAAAGGAACAGGTAAAAGGGTAGCCCTCAGCCTGGTGCTGTCCCCCAAGCAGGACCGAGCAGACAAAAGGGGCAACAGGAAGGGAGTGTGGGAAGTAGCCCGGTTGCTGCATCAAGCAGGAGATGGGGTGCAACAGGACGATGGGCTGGGGACTGGGGGGTGGACGAGGACAGGGAAGCGTCCCGCGCTCTCCTCCTCCTGGTTCTGCGTTCTCTACACGAATCGGTCGTCTCCAGCTTCTAGCCGGGAATCTGTGGGGGCAGGGAAAGAGGCCACCTTCTCAGACTCCTACGGCCTCTCGCCTCTCCCATCTCACATTCCAAACTCCCAAGGACAACCTGTCGCTCGCTTCGGAAGCCGGAAGCCGAGGCTTCTTTCTGTCTCCCCCACCCCAAATCTGTTTTCTCCCCTATTTCTTTTGTCCGTTTCTGCATTTGAAGGTTTCCCTGGGAAGCGTTTCTGGGATCTGCTTCTCTCTTGTCTGTTACACCTCTTTCTCTTTTTCCTCTTTCTCTCTCTTTCTCTCTCTCTCTCTTTCTCTCTCTCCTCTCTCTCTCTCTCTCTCTCTCTCTCTCTCTCTCTCTCTCTCTCTCTCTCTCACACACACACACACACACACACACACACACGCAAACACACCCTCTGTATGCCGGCCATCTCCGCGCCCTTCCTCCGCGGCTCTGGCCTTTTAGAAGCGCGCAGGGCCCATTCTTAGAACCGCCGCGCGGTGATCCGACGGTGCCTGGGAGAGGGGGCAGGTGAGATTGGCTGGAGCCCCGCCCGGGCAGACGCGGAGGAAGGTGGCGCCCGCGCCAATCCGCCGCCAGGGCCCTGTCCTCGTCGCCCCCACCCCCCCACCCCCACCCCAAACCCTGCTGGCTGCCGCCAGGGGAGCGGAGGACGCAGGAGGCCCTTCGCGCTGCCGCCCCAGACCTAGACGCTGTTCTCAGAGGCCTCACGGGGCCGGAGCGGGGGCGGGGGTAATGGACCTGGAGCCACCTAGCTCCTGCCTGGGGCCGTCACCTCGGTCCCTAGGCTCTGTCGCTCCCAAAGGCCAGGGTTCCAGCAGCCTAAGAAGACGCGTGGAGGACAGCGCAGTTCGGAGAGGTAGGTGAGGCACTCCCCGCCCTTCCTCTCGCTGCTGGGGGCCGCGGCCACGCAGATCAGAGCGGTGGCGTGAAAGACCCTTCTGGGACTAGGCAGTCCCCGGAGCTAGTTGAGGATTACTGGCTGCGGCGGGCGTGGGCCACCCGGAGTCACCAGTTAACCTTGAGCTCCGGACCGATCCAGCCTTCCGGGTGGGGCCTGGGACGACCCTCCAACGCCTTGGCCTCCGGCCCGGCTCCCATCCGACTCTGCCTCCCCAAACGACGGTGTGTAAGGGGGCAGAGGGTCTCCTCCCATCCTTGTCCCAAAACTAGGCTCTCCAGAGCCGGGTGCTGAGGGTTCGGTGCAGCCTCAGGCCCTCTCAGACCAGTCCCCAGTCACAACCCCGAATTCCAAGCGGATGTAGCCAGAGAGACAGGGCCGGCTGCTCTGAGCAGCCTCGTGGGTAGGGTTCACTTAGAAAGGGGTTAACAGATGTTCTTTCTCCATGGAAATTAGAAATTGGTCTGGAACTCTGGGTCCAGACTGGAGTCCTCAGGCCCCCAGGGTGCTGAATAAGTCCTCTTTTTAGCAACTCCCTGGAAAGGATTGGGGGGGGGGAATACTTGGGGGAGTCTCTTGCTTTGGACCACCTTTCAGTGAAGCGAAGGGACCTAAGTCTCCTTGCCTTCCGGACCGTGCTGGGGCTCGGGTGGCCTCATGCCTGGAAGAGTGCTATCTGAATCTGAAGGGATGCCAGGTGCCGCCATCTTGCTTGAAACTCACACTCACAAAAATCGTGAGTGTGCTTTTTTTGTAGGGGTAGCCTGCTGTTCGTGGGAGGGGGCAGAAGGCAGGGAAAGGATCTCAGTCTGTATGGACTGGGTCAATACAAAAAATGACTCGCCTTTGAAAATGCGTGTAGAGAGAAGCAGGCATAAAGGGTCTGCATGGTGGGTATTGTGGTGTCTCTTAGGAATTAGTAACCCTCAGGAGTCTGTGAGGAATCCTGTGTCAGAGTATCGAGGATGGTACAAACACACAAAGCAGACATGAAATTATGGACTCCCAACTGCGCTCAATAATAAAGGTAGCTGATGGGAAATTCATATTTTCACCTATATAATCAATCCCCTTCCAAAGTAGAACAGTGCAGAGTATATTGCCTGTATTCCACATACATATGCTAAATGTGGAAACATGCAGCACAGAACTGTACTTGCCAGTATCAATAGAAGCACAAAGATCCGTGATGGAGAGGAGGTATTCCCTGAGTGAAAATTCAAATTTCTTGGTGTATTTCCCTGATCCTCAAAGGAAGAGAGGCAGTGCTTTTTCTGATATGATCTTCCTTCCAAATCCCCTTTGGAGCTGCAGCTCCTCCCTTTCCTAGAGTCGGGAGCACTTGGCTTCAAGTCCAGAGAGGCCTTCTCACTCCAGCCCGGAAAGGGGTGAAGCTTTCTTCCACTCCCAACCATATTGCCCAGGAGGCAAGTAGCCTGCCCTCTGCCGTGGTTTAGAACCACCATCCCAACACCACTCCAGTGCACCCCAACACGTGCACACTTCCCCAGCATAAATGCAAGGGGAGGCTTTCCTAGCCTCAGATAAGGCACTGTGGGAGACCTCAGAGCCCTTAAGAAGAGTCCCTCACTCTTCCACTACACTTTGGGAGACCCAGACCCCTATCCCCAGCAGATGGTTGGCTGTTCTGTCTTCTCACTGTCTCAAAAGGCACTGACTCCATGATGGGAGCTTCTGTTAGGCTGGGAGCTTAGTCTCCCAATCCACCCTGCCTCTGACTTCTTTTCCTGGCCTGATTAAACAAATATCAGGCTTCAAGTGCTATTGGATTCAAAAGAGAGTTTGATTATTTTAATCTACTGGAATTCTCTCCCTCATTTTCTCCTCCCTCATCATTCTCTTGCTCTCAGGTTTTGTCTTCTCTTTCTCCCTAAACATAGACAGAAAATCGATGATTTTTTTGGGCTTGGAAGGAAGGGATGGAGAGAGAAAGGAGGGACTCTTTCACCCATCCAGGCAGTACCCAGAACTGTGATGGGAAGCACCAAAGTCATCATAGTACATCCTGCCCTCCAAGGCTGAGAGGTCATTTGATTCCATAATTCCCACCCTCACCCCAAGATCCAATGGCATCATCTTCCTTAAGAGGAACTAAGGATTTGGGGCTTCTCCAGTTTTCAAAAATAGGAAGAAGAAAACATTCCTGTAGTGACTCGGGTGGCCAGATATGGAGGGAGTTCACAGTTTGGCCAGCATGCCTGGGCTCATAGAGAATTGGAGTCCTCAGGGATGAGACGGTTGGGGAAAGTCCTGCTAAGCTTGGTGAGAGGCAGGCTTGGCTCCCACCCAGCTGGCAGGGGACCCTAGGCTGTTCACCAGGTGAAGGTGAAATCTGGACTGAAGGTCCAGGTTCCTCACCTGCCTGGCTGCCCCATGTGCCCCACATCCCCCTCTGGGCCAAAAAGCAGGAATAGCTGAAAGAAAAAACAAACAAACCTGAAAGCATTCAGATTTATAATCTGCTTAAATACTTACAGCCATGAAAGCTGTGGTGAAACTGTCTCCTTGACTGATTGGCAACTTCCACTCTTCAGTTTGGTAATGTGTGGATGGGGTCGGCCTGAGGTTCAGATCTCAGCGTCCAGAGCTGTGTCTAGGGGTCTAGACTGCAGGATTTGGGGACTCTTACCTCCTCCCCTGCTTCCTTCCCCTTCCAGAGCTTCTCAGAAGGTGACTAGGCTTTCTTGTATGGCCACAAAATTCTACAATTTCAGAGGATTTCAGATGCCTTGAATGTCAATCAGGTTAAGAACTTCTATGTGGATTGATTGGAGAATTGGTGTCTGGAAAATGCTGAGACCAAATACGATCGCAAATTTAGGTCTCCACTTTTTCCCCTTTAGCTGATGCTGTGGTGCTCATCAGGTCCACCTCCACCGGTGAAAGCACCCAGAGGCAGTGTTTCCGCCCCCCTCCCCCAAAAAAGTCACCTGGACCTGAAAGTTGGGCCCAAATCTCAATGCCTTTTTCCCCAGGAAGATGACGGAGTGGCCACTCTCAGCCCACTTTCCATCCTTACCTTACCCCCTTCAACCCCCTCCTCAGCTCAGTTACAGGAATAACAGCCCTTTCCTTTCAGGGATCATTAAGGCCAAAGTGCCCCCACCCCCATCCCATCGCCTATCTTGGGGCTGAGTCGCCTCCTTTTGAAGTACTCCTGGGCTAATGTTCAAGGCTGAATCTTGGGTGGAATGGAGGCGAGGACTTAGCCGGGAATAAACTGGATATTAAGTTATAATAAAAAATTTAAAAAAAAAACACACATGAACTACCGAGCCTTCCCCATCCAGAAAATTTCCTCCTAGAACTATGGCCGAGGCCGTGTCAGGGCCCAGGCTGCAAGGACTGATTCCAATGCTCCCAAAGTCTTTTATGGAGAGAGCAATCAATATCCAGAGACCGCATCCTTTAACGCAATGAAAGGGAAAGGGTCCAAGTTTCTACCGGGTAAACCTCTTACCTCCTCCTCAGTCTGTTCGCTCCTGGGCCCGGGGCCCTGGGCTCCTGAGCTCTGAAGTGAGCCGGAGGGAACGAGGCTCGTCCTGGAGGCTGAGATGTGCCTGCTTTGCGGCTCCCGCGGAGGCTCCGAGGAAAGACCACGTCACTGATGTGGCACCAGGTCGCGTGGGGAGTAGGACGGTCGGAGAAGTTGTGGCGAGGGGTTTGAGATCACTGCGCCCCCCGGTCCCCGACTCAGGCCGCGCTTGGGACGGCGCGGGAAGTCGGTGTCCTGCTTACAGTTCCCTTGCGCTGGGCCAGTCCCTGACGGCCCGCACCCCACAGTGCTCCCCCGGGGATCGGCATCTTTGTCTCCCGCGGGGCGCGGAGTGACGATCTCGGTGTCAGCCGCAGGCCTGCTTCGCTGTGGCAGGAGGATAGGAAACTCGCCAGGCGGGGAGGCGGCTGAGCCGGAGTCGCAGAGTTGGCGGCCAGAGGAGGGTCAGGGCACCTCTGGACTCTGCGCCTCCAGCCCCATCCGCCAACAGCCCAGCCGCAGGGATGGGATCTGGAAGCCTGGGAGGGCCTAGGTCCGAGCTCGGGCTAGGGATTAGAAAGGAGGCTTTCAAATCCGGCCAAGACGTCCAGAAGCGGCAATTAAGGGTCGAAGGGAGGTCGCAAGTACACAGGTGTCCGCTCGGACGCCGCAACGTCAAAGGCCTGGAGACTCGCAAGCTCTGCTGTCTAACCGAAGAAATGGGGTGAGCTGGAGGGCTCTGTCCAACCACCAGCGCAGCGAGCGCCTGGGAACGCGGACCCAGTGCCTTGCTCCAAGCGGACCTCCGCGCGCCGGGACCAAAGAGGTTGGGGGCGCCCTTTCCAAGTGAGCAGCTTCTTCCTGCTGTCTTGCTTCGAGGGGTGTGGGTCCTAGCCGCTGGGCTTCAACGTTCCCTCCAGGCCGCCGCCGGCGCCAGCATCACTTGTCCCCATTTTTCAGCTCTGGGTCTCCTTCACCAATGCGCCCTTCCTACCCACAATTAACAAACGATCTCGCGAAACCCAGCCAGGTCCCGGCAGAGGGGCACCTCCGTCCTCCGATATCCGCTAATTAATCAGAGAGCCTTAAGGAGACCGAGGAGTTGTAAACGGAAGGTTTAGGACGAGGGGGCGCTGACGAAGCCATTAACCTCCTGGTAAAGATGGGAAACGGAGATGCCTCCGCGGCCCCTGTGGGCCCTTCTCAGCACGCGGGTTTTGGCTGCTCTACGTCCCCGCCGCGCTCCAGCTCCTGCCTCCTGTCTGGCTGTTTCACTTCGCTTTTTGTCATTCTCTTTCTTCCCTCTAGTCACCTTTGAGGGCCCCTTTCTTTGCGTCTGCTTCTGTCTACCTATCCAGCTGTCTCTCGAGCCCTTTTCCGTGCGCAACCCCGGCCAAGAGAACTTTAGAGTCAAGCGAGCAGCCTTGGCTGGCCTCTGGCTCCCGGGTCTCAGACGCGGCACTGCAGGCTTGGCTGGAGCTGAGGGAGCTGGAGACCCGGGGTGGGGTGGGGGGGAATATACCCTCTCCCGCAAGAGCTAGGGCATATGCGAGGGGAAAACGGTTAGTGAAACTTTTGGTTGTTTTTCGGTATGGACCAGCTCAGGACAAGGCGGCAAGTGACAGGAATGATCCAGGCCCCAAGGTCGAAAAGCTCTGTATCATTTTGATTGGAAATACGGAGACCTTGTATACTCCGTTTCTACCCAAGCAAGGGTGTACGAGGTAGGGACTGGGAGTTGTGGGCCACCTTGTCTCAGTCCTGGAGTCCTCAGCACCTGTGAGCAGGTAACCATTGTTCCCGGGAAAGCCAGGTGACAGTATCCATTTGACCTTGTGACACACACAATTGTTAGCCCTCTCTTTTAATGTATCTTTTCGGATACCCAAGTCTATTTCGTTGCCTCCCTCTGCATCACGTTTGTGATATTTGTATGTCAGTGGTGGATGAAAGGTTGTTAACATTTTTTTGGGTCACTCACGGATACTTTAAAACCTGATGAAAGCTATTGATTCCCACCTCCCCAGGGGGAAAAATGCACTTATGTAGTGCTCACCAAATCCCACAATTTCAGAGGGCTTCAGACCCCTTGGACTCAGGTTAAGAACTCTTATTTGGATTGATCAAAGAAGCTGGTGTCTGGAAAATGCGGAGGCCAAATATGGTCAATGAATGTAGGTCTTCACTTTTTTTCTGTGGCTGATATCTCAGTGTTTGCCAGGTCAACCTTCACCTTTAAAAACACACACGCAGCAGTATTCCTCACCCCACGGCTACTGGTGGGGCCTGGGTTCCCAGTGGAAGTCAGTCTTCCCTCCCTCCCCAGGACCAGGGGGCTAGAGCAAGTAGGGAGAGCTTTAGGACAGGGATGGGGGCGGGCGGAAGCTAACTTTGGACTGGCTGGGGAAGGGACTGGACCAGTTGCTGGAGGGAAGTGGGGCTTGGGCAGCCTCCCAGGGAATAAAAAAACACACTAGAACTCCTGGGAAGGGAGGGCTGTCCAGCAACAACCCCCTAGATAATTCTTTCTGTGAGCCAAACAAGTGGGGATCAGGCAATCAGATGTCCTTTTGAGTCCCTTATTAATCGACTCTTCAGTTTCCTCGGAGACTCCAAATCTTCGTGGGGCTAAGGGCTTAGCCAAGGTTAGAGGCTGGGGGATACCAAATTCTGGGCTGAAAGGGAAAGGATTTGTTCCTAAACATTTTTTGTAATCTTCTTTGCAGGAGCCAAACAGCAGGTGGCCTCTGACAAGCCTGGGTGAAGGGGTAGGGGGTAGAGTGGGGGGTGAGGAGTTAGGGACCTCCCAGCCTCCTGTATTGTGGCTTGTTTAGACTTAGCTCTTCCTCTCCAGCCAGGGAAAGCTTCCTGGCCTTCTCTCCTGACTCCTGTGAAATGACCAAGCTAGACCTTCCAGAAAAAAAAGCCAGGTTTCTTTGGTGTCTGTGATTGGAACAAACTTCCTTCTTCTAGGACTCTATTCAGACAAATTAGGGGAACTGGAAATTATCTGGCTTATTGTCCCCCCACACACACACACACAGACACACACACTCACTCCAAACCCAACCCACCTGGCAGGTCCTCAATTTCCTACATATTTCAAGCAAATGTGACTTGGGGCAGGAAAGATCCCAACCCATTCCTGGCTGCCCTTCTCAGAGCTGGCACAACCACCACTTACCTGCCCAGCAGTTCTGGTCTGTCACAAGAAGCCAACAGTTGGCTAATAGTATTCAGACCCCTGCCTGAAAATAAAAGGAAAAAAATAAACAATTTTCTGCTTGGGACAGCTTAAATTGAATAATTCTGGCTGTGAACCCCTGACCTAAATGCTTTTAATCAGAGCAGAAGAAATATATGCCTATTTGTTTCCTACTTTACTAATTAAAGAAAGCTAATTGGTGTTCTCAGGAACTTCCAGCTGAGGGTCAGAAGCCTTCAGTCAGCTCTTTGCCCCTCCCCACACAAGGCCATCCCCACCGTGGAGTTGGCCTCTTTCTGACAGACAATGGGAGGGGGTTCCCTCCCACCCCCTGGCTCCGCCCCTGCACTAGGACTTTGGCCCTGAAAAGGCAATACTGCCGTTGGCCAGAAGTTCTTGCCCAACAGGGTTGTACCCCTGCCGGGGTCCCTGGACTCGTTTCTAGGACCTCTCACTGGCTATAAGTCAGCACTCGGCCAGCTGGTGGAGTGCAGCTCCCACTGGAGCCCTGGTTCTCAGCCCCGTGCAAGGCACACAGTAGGCACTCAGGAAATGTTTGTTGAATGAGGGGTGAAAGTTCCCACCAGGCAAAGATCTGAAACTTGTTTGGGGAGTCTCTGAGGCCGGTGCATGGAGAGCTCCAAGGCTTTCTGGCTGCTCAGGAAATGAGCTAGACCTTAGACGTTTTAATTCCAGCTTCTTGGGCCCCTATTTCTTTTCTACTCATCCTCAAAGGCAGGATCTTGCTCACTCTGGCAAAGGGAAAAGGCTTACTGAGAAGGGGGATGAGAATATGTCACCACTCCCCAGACTTTCCCCCCACCAGATCCCAGTATTTCAGGCTAAAGGGAGTTTGAACCTGAAATGAGCCAGATAATTGCCCCAATTCTCTGTTCCTCATTGAAGAGGGAGTTACAGGCCAAGGGGTTCAAGCGGCCTCACTTTTATGGACATTGCTCTAAGTCAAAAGAATTCATTATACATATACAGGCTGAGAGGCGCACCCTCCAACCTACACTGGTTCTCTGAGAACAAAGCAGGTTTCTTCCTCCTCCCCCTTCCTCCTTGTTATTAATAGTTACTATTTACTAAACGGCTCCCTGTTCACCCTGCATTGTGCTAAACCCTAGGTGTGTTGTACATTAATTAATCTTTACAATCCTAAGATCCGAAGAGTTAAGACCTCTAGATTTTGCAGATGCAGAAACTGATGCAGAAACTTACTTTTTGGGCATGAAGCCTGTGTGTGTGTGTGTGTGTGAGAGAGTGATAATGTTGATGTGTTACTGGCAGATCTGAATGCTCAAGAGGTATAACAGGGATGGATATAAAGAAAATTGACAGTGAAAAGCTCTTAAAGTTTTTGAAATATGGAATGTTTTAATAGAACACAGATAGTTTTTCTTGCCCTAAAGTGAACAAAGAAGAGATGCAATTAACTGGCTAATTCCAAGCCCCAAATGCTTTCCCTTGAAATGGCCGGATAATGAGGCTGACAGTATGTTCTCAGTTGAATTCGCCTGATGTTGCTCCATTTCCCAAGCCCTCAACTTTTGTGAATCGATTGGGCAATCACAGTGAGACACACAGACACACACACTCACACACACAGGAATGCTGACACACACAGACCCGACTTTATCCTGCCTCCAGAGTCTTTTATGACTCAGCCCTGGGAATGAAAATAGGGTTTGGAGCAGAATAACGTGCCGGAGGCTGGGTAGTGCGCAGCTGCTCCAGATGTGTACTAGATAATTAGGCTCCCAGAAAAGCCCCTGTGTGACTGGGAAAGGCGCCTCTGCGGGCTGCAGGCCCGGGCAGGCGCTGTGCCCTAGTCTACCATGGTGCCCTTTGCTGTCCAGACCCCAGTTGTCCTCTAGTTCCTTTTCTTCCCTCCCTTCCCTGCAGGGTATTCTCTGGGACCACAATCTTAAGAATAACTTTGGAGAAACGCCTCACAGCGTGCTGTGAAATATAAAAAGGCATCTGTGCCTTGAAGGAAGGGAAAGAGTGACCCCAGTTTCTCCTACCCCGTGCTTCTCTGGTTCTGGATGTCTCTGAGCTCAGACTCAAGAGGGGCTGGGAGCTGAACAAGGTTTCTTTTTCCTCACCCCCCCCCACCCTATAACTTGACAGGCCCCATTGGAGCCAAGGGAGTGACCCTACTGCCTGCCTTAAACGACCTTCTCTTTTTGGTTTATGGGACAGCCGTGTACCTGACACCTTCTCTTAGTCATCAGGCACTCTTTTATAAAGTATTCAAACCTCACAACATCCCATCTGGTAGGTCATTTTCATCCGGGCATTTGCGGGCCTACGGTACTTGCTCAGGAGCACACCGAGCTAAGGAGGGTATAGCGTTGAGCTGCTCATGTCCTGGCTCCCAATCCTAGTTGAGCTGCTCCTATATGCGCCTGCAATTCCCTTATGTGCTTCCTCAAATCTTAACCCCAGAAACCCCCAAACTTCCAACATAGAAAGCCCCCAAAGGCTGCCTTTCTAGAAGTGAATTTTGTTTACAAGAAAGACATTTTTGTTGGAGTCGTCATAATTTTGGAATAGGAATATTCCATTCGTAGTAGAGGATACATCCTCCACCCTTGCTTCATCACTTTCAATAGCTGCTCTGATCTTGGCTAACCACTTCATTTCTTCGTGCCTCAGTGTATTCTTTTGCAACTTGGGGAAGGGGGTTGAAGATTCTGGCGCTGCCTTTAAGCTGGCTCTGTGGAGATCAAAGGAGACTTGAGCTGTGGAAGGCTCCCTAGAGTCAGGATGTGGGTAGGGGGTGGTGAGCCGATGGAGCCATGAGTAGCTGTCGATTCCTTTCCCAGCCCTCACTCGTTTAATCGTGTTTCTCTCGCTTGGCAGAGGGCGCCAAAGGCGACGCACCGGCTGCCAGCTCCCAGCCAAGCCCAGTGCGTCCGCAGGAACCGGCCCCTTCACCCAGCGCGGGACGCGGAGCTGCGCGAGAATCTTGTTCAGCGCGGACTCAACGCCAGGGCGCCGCCTAGAGGTCAGCCGCGGCCTCAGGCTCACCCGCCAGCGCCGCGGGAGCTGCTTTCCCAGCCGCCGCCAGAAACTGGGGGTGGGGGGGGCGAGAAATCTAGCTCGGGTCTCAGGGACGCTGCTTCTGGCACTTCTGACTTCTCTGAGATCACCCCGCCCCCACCAAAGAACCCTAGGAAGGGACTAGGGAGGCCCAGAAATATTTATTCTTGTGACTCTCACTAAATGGAAGGGGATGTCAATTTCGGTTTCTTTGAGGATCCTGTGTTCTGCAATCTGTGTCTATACTGCCATCTCGCACCATCCAAATTGTCCAGCCCCCTCCAATTAGAAAGAACTCTGCTTTATCTTCAAGGAGGAAAAGGAATAGGGAAGAGTTGCCCCTAAATCTTACAGCTTGGTCATCTACATTTCCAATTCTCTGAATAATTTGGAGATCAACATGCTTTTGTAAAAGTATTCAGAAAACTTTTGAAGATGAAAAGAAGCATCACCTAAGTGTCCTTTCCTCACTGAGTGACTATCAGCTTAACTAGTGTATGAGAGACGTTTAGGAGGGTGGTTTTTGGCACTAGCGCCCCTGTTGGTGGGTGCCTGTGCTGACCATTTGAAAGTTGACTCCTTTGGGGCCAGGCGACCTCGGAATGAGAAGGCTGGCTGGTGTCTATGAGAATGGGTTTGAGGTGTCATCTGGCCCCGTGCAGAGAGTTTTCTTTTTTAAACTGGGATCCATAGCCTGGGTTCTGGAGATGAAGGTAAGGAGAAGCCACAAGGGCCCTGCAAAATGTATGCAAAACTTGTGTGTGCACAGGTATGTAATTCTAAGACTGTGGCCTTTTCAGATTTTCTAGAGTCAAAGACTAAAATGGTTCAATCACCTTTCCTTGGCCCAGGGAGCCATGGAGTCCCAGCTCAGGGAGCCAACACACTGATCTGCCTCTACCACAGGCCCCTGGGGTGGGGTAGAGGGTGGGTAATAACAGTCTTGATGGTGTGGAAACTGTGGGACCCTCAGTTCTGCCCTCCACGCCCATCACTAACAGCTCCCAGAGGCAAATCTTGATAGAAGGGGGGACTGCCAGTGGCTGCCATCACAGAACTTTTAATAAAAATATAGGATGATAAAGTGTGAAATGAGGGAATTCCGGCACATATTGAGGAGGGGAGTAGGAAGGGCCTCCCCAGGCATATCCTGGAATATGAATGTTGGGATGGAAACAAGCTACTTCCTGTCCTCTAGATGTTAATGAGCTCCCCCTCTTCTTCCTTCTTGGTGCAAAGAAGGGGCCAGAGGGCAGGCATCTCTGGCTGGGGCTGAGTGTGGCTGCCCGCATCAGAATTAGCCTTTCAGAAAAACCAGGAACTGTAGACTACAGCCTAGTATTTTCCTGGCCCATTCCATTTTTCAAAAATCCCCAGCAGTGCTTTGACACCTTTTGTTGGGGTGGAGGGGGGAGCATGGAGTTGGCCAGTCACAAAGGGTCGCACATGTGTGTCTGTGGGAGGAAGGCGTCCTCAGGGCACCAAACACCCACCTGAGTTTTATACCCAAAGCCAACCTAAGCCTGAGTTTATCTTAGCCCTCTAGTGCCTGTTAGACCTGACTCCTTGTTATTTTTGTGGTGAATAACTGTGAGGTGTGACTGAATTCCTTTGCTCTCCCACCCAGAAGTGCACCAAACCAGGCCCCTCCAGCAGACAAAGTGAGTAGGAAGCCAATAATTTCGCTTCCAGTTATCTGGAGCCTGAGGTGCAAAGGGGTTTTTCCTAGTTTGGGTTCACAATGGCCTAATAACCATTCCAAATTTGGATTCCACAAAGCTTTGTAAAAAAAAAAAAGTGTGTGTGTGTGGAGGGGTGGGGGTCCAGAGCAGGAAAGAACTATGGAGAGGGTCGTTGAGGTCCAGTTTGTTTTTGTTTGAGTTTGAGGCTTTTTAAGAGCCCGAGAGGAGATGGCGGCAGAGCTCGGCAGAGGCCAGTTGGGACACTTCTCAGCGCTGGCGGTCACTCTCACTGCCCCAAAGACCAGCCCCTGGGTTACTCCTTTGGGATCTCCCGCCTGGCTCAGGTCTTCTAACTCCCTCTCTCCTCTCAAGTACCTGGCAATAAACGGGCGGGGGGGGGCAGGGCAAAGTTCTGGCCGCTGGAAACGGAAAAATAAAACAAAACCAAAAAACCCGCTTTCAGCGGAAATATGCGAAGAATGGAAGCCCAGGGCGTGGCTGGCAGAGCCAGTCAGCCAGGAAGGACCCGGGAGTCCAGCACCGCTTTGGCGAAGACCGGGGAGCCTCGTCGGGGCCGGGGGCGCCGAGCCGGCGACGTGCGCGGGCCTCCGGGACTGTGGTTCAGGCGGTGGCTTCCCGTCCTGTAGCACCGCCGCCGGGGCCACCGCACGGGCCGGGGCGGCGCGGCGGCCAGTCGGAGAGAAGGGCGCGCCTGACGGCCGGGACGGCCGGGCTGAAGCCCGGGGCCGCTTCTCTCCACACGGACAGAGGAAGGGGCCGAGGCGGGGGCTTCTGCGGCTCGTAAATTTGTTTCCCCTGCCTTTTAACCCGCCCCCCGGCCGTCTTTCTTTTCAGGACGTGAGGGGATGTAAACCGTTTGAAGTTCATCAACACGGTGAAGTTTTATTGTATTTCCGGTCCCCAAGATTTATACCCGGGAGGGGGAGCGGGCAGCCAGGCAGACTCCTTCGCTCCCTCGGACTTCCCCGCCGGACACGTGGCCACTCGGACACTCGCCTCCGGGGGCGAGGGCGGGAGGGAGCCAGGTCTGTCGGGACGTGAACGCTCGCCCCGCACCTTCCGACGGCCGCTCCACCCAGCGCCGCCGCCGCTGCCCAGGTAAGGCCGCCGCCTCCGCCCCGCGGGGCCGCCGACCGCGTTGCGGGTGTGTATGCGCAAGCACCTGTGAGGTTGCGGGAGTCTGGAGGGGTCGAGGTGGCGGTAGGGGACATCCTCCGTCCGGGCCGAGGAGCACAGGGGCCAGGCCGAAAGTCTGGAAGGAAGAAGCAAATTTGTTCACTGAGTCCCAGTCCGAGTCCTCAGCCTCCCGGTTTCATGTGTGAATTCAGAATGGATTGTCTTACCTGGAAGAGTTCTGCCTCGGTGGACCCAGGGCCACCGGTCACTGAGGGCAGGGTGACTTCACAGCGACTGTTCAGGTCAACCTGCTTTCCCTCCCAGTCATGTTCTTCTGTCTGCTCCCTTGCCTTGCTGATCCTTTCTCACCCTCTGATTTTTTTTGTCTGTCACTTTCTCAGCACTCCTTCTCGCCACTCTCCTGCCTGTACTCCAGCCTCAAAGCTGGGGTTTGGTGTAGGGCTTGAAGATTTGGCCTCTCAGAGCTACCTTGGGTGACCCTGGAATATAGGCACTAGCCTCACGGTGAATGTAGACGCACCTTGATAACAGTTTGAAGTTGAGAAATCTTTCTATCTGTGGAGCCCTCCAGCAGCAGAAACAAAGGCTGAGCGGTGGTGACCAAGCAGGTATCTCTACCAGGTTCTGCCCAGGTCTGAGGCTGGGCCTAGGATCCCCTCTGGTCAGGGCTCCTGGAAGAGAACAAAAGTTCCTAGTATCCAAACTGTCAGGACCAGCTCCAGAATGGTTTTTCCTGGAGTCCTGCCTCCAGTTCTTTGGGTACGTCGTTTGCTAGAAACTGAGTTCTGTTGGGGAAGAGGTGGAAGAAAATGAATGAAGTTAACGGGCCAGCGGGTTTGGCCCACAAAATAGCTGCAGGGGCCTGCCCTGAGTGAGCCCTTGACCCGGAGAGTGAACTGAAACTGCTGAGTGAATTAGGTAGTTTCATGTTGTTGGGCCTGGATTTCTGAACACAACGACATTAAACCACCCGACTCACGGCAGTTACTGCTCCTCGCTTAACTGGAGGAGTGGGGATGGGGGCGAGTGAAGCAGAGTCAGGACTAGTGTATCACCCTTGCAAAATGGTAAAGATTTGAGGTCCCTCACCCAGGGGCAGCCAGGATCTTCCCCAGAGAGGAAATCTGGGAAGTTCTAGGGTGTCTCCCCACTTCTGCATTTTTTTTTTTTAGTGTGTGTTGGGAGGGCAAGGAGGAATGCGGAGAACTCCACTTCTCCAAAGGTACCTTGCTGGGTTCTTCTGCAGAGCCCAAGGATGGTAGATGGGGCTTCAAGCTTCCTGCTTGGTGTCTTCAGCGCCTGTCTGTATTCAGACTTTCCAAAGAAAGTCTCCCGAGCTTGCCAAATGCTTGATTTCAAGAGACACAGGGGTTCCTTGAGGTCTTGTAACCCTTTGGAGGACAAGGCTCTACCTCAATAGGAAGTTTCAGTGCCTTGAAGAGGGCTCAGTACGCCCCATTCTGAAAGAGAAACATTGGGACCCCTTGTAGCCTCAGCCTCTAGGCCTCCAGGGTCCTTCCTAGGGCCCCCTAGTGGGATAGAGGTGGGTTTTAGAAAGTCCTCCCTTTCCTAAACCCGTAGTTGGCTCCTTTCCCACCCAGTGGCCAAGGCTTCCCCAAGACCGTTGGTCTGTGCTGCAGGTTTGCAGAGGTCCTGAGGGCCAGTCCCTGGGAGAGGGGCCTGACTTGCAAGCTAGTAGGGAGCCCAAGCTGTTGGGCAGTTTCTTCCAACTAATGGAATGACAGGAGATGGAGCACGGGGGTGGGGCAGGGGCAAAGCTGTGATACCCTCTTTGACCCCAGACCTCTCCAGGCTGCTGGCTGTCTGCCCAGGAAAGAAATAAGTAGAAGTGCTGGCGGAAGGCGTGGGACGGTCCAAAGCATAAGCTAACTTTTGTTCCCAAACTTTTCCCCTCTGCTTAAGGCAGAGGAAATGTGGAAAGGGACCTGACCGGATGGGGCTTGGGCGCCAGGCTGACTTGGAGGGCAAGGGGGGTGTGTGTGTCTCTGAGCAAGGGGCCTATGCTAGGGTGGAGGGGCCCTAGGGAGACCCACCCCCAGCCCAGGAGAAATGCAGCCTTCAACCCACTGTCTTGGTGAGTAAAGGCCTATAATTCTGTCCCTTGACATTTTCTTGTGCTTCCGTCTGGCTGAAGATGGTCTGGAGTGTCCTGCTGCCTTATCTTGCTTCTCCCTGGGCCTCTCACAAACCTGACCAGCCACTGGGAGCCTGGCTGTCTTCCATCCCTGGAGGCCCTTGGCCACCCCCTCCCAAGAACAGTGCTGTAAAAAGAAAAAAAGGGGGGATGTTAGAGAGAAAGGAGGAAATAAAGTCTTTGGAAAGCAGAGAGTTTTACAGCCACAGGTTTTATGGAAGCAATTCCGTAATAACCTTCTACCTGCTCAGCTCCTTTCCGCCCCGCCTGCCGCCCACCCCGTTTGGCCTCCTGGATTCTCCCTTCCAAAGAGTCAGCCACCCCCACCACCTTCCAGATCCCTGATGGCTGAAAGTTGGTAAGACATTCCGAGGTCTGCCTGGGCCGCTGACCTCTCAGTCCTTCCTTTCACCTCTGACATCCTGGGAGGGAGGTTGGGCAGAAGAGTTCGTTACTTTACAAATTAAAATCCCCACTTGCAGCGTGTGGAAGCGCTGAGGTTTGAACTCATGCGTGCAGATTTGATGGGATTCGTTTTGGAGGCCGTTTTGTACAAAGGGTGAAGGTTCTGGGGACCTTGATTTCCTCCCCCCTGGAGCAAGTGTCCCCACACCTTCTTTCCTAGAGTGGGTCTGGACTCTGATCCTGGGTCAGAAGAAATATCTCCAGGTGCTTGGGGACATAGACTTGGGGACTTGTCTAATTTCGTTGTACACAGCAGTGCTTTCGTGTGACCTCCACAGTTACCTGAGAGCTTTCACATTCAACTCATCTCTGTCCACTGGTCAGATTCACACTTGTGTGGGACACACTTCATGCACAAGTAATGGTCCCTTCATCCGGTGCCCATCACTGCCATGAAATAAGGATCACACGATGCATACTATCCCTGCAGCTTTGGGTAAGATACGCAGTAAAGGATTTCATGGTCAGACACAAAAGTCACAAAATTTCATGACCTCCCCTGGGCCAACTCGAGGCATTTCCTTCACCTTCCAGAGAAATATTTTGGAAGGAAGTTGTAACAAGAAGCCAGATTTAAGCCGCATGTGTTTAGTGGAGGATACGGTATGTATTTTGCTTGAATATCAAGTCAACAGGCAGATTTTCAAGTGAAGCTTCAGAATCAGTTAATGTTTTATAGCCACAATTCAAGTACACCAATACTCAAGTTTTTGCCCTTTTCATAGGTGTGTGATGGTTATAAAAATGTACACACAAGGTTTTGGGTCAGAGATCTTCTATGTAGTAAATTGTAAACACATGTCACTCACAGGCGTTATTCACACATCCACGGATGTAGCACTAGATCTTACGGACGAACGCCCAGGCACATCCAGTATTATAGTTGCACAGATTTATTTATTACATATTCTATACACAGCATAGAGCACAGCACATTTGCACACTAGGTTCCCCATAAAGAAACATTGATTTGAAATGTAGGTACAGGATATATACATCTATTCAAATACATCCTGTGTAAATTTTGGCTTAGCTTTATCGATTAAAAACCAATTTCCCCCCCTTTTCCCATTTATTATTTTTTTTCTTACTTTGTCCTTATTTCTTTCATTTCCTTCCCTCTGTCTAAATCTCTCTCCCTTGCTTACTGACAAAGACCCTTCCGAAAGCCACCCCTAAAGCATAGGCACTCACCGGCTGGTCCTGGCCAGGGTTGGCCTCTGCACTCCCCAAACTCAGCCTTGTCTTCGATGCTGTGGGCCCTAGTGTGGCCAGGGACTGCAGCTTTACCCTGCCTGCTCTTCCCGGAGCTACCAGATGCTGGCCCCAGCTGTGCTCGGGAGCCGCTCCTGTGCAGGGAATGGCAAGAGGCTTCCAGGGAAGGCAGGGTGTTCCTTCTTTCTTTTTAGGATTGGGGGTGGGGTAGGGAGCAGCTTGTGCTCTCAGAACAAAGTGACCCCCACTCAAGCAACCCCTCTATTAAGCATTTGTAGAAACTGGGCTTCAGAGGCCCGCAATCCTGTTTGCCTCCCTCCAGTCAATCATGGTAGGTACCATTGTCTGGGAGAGAAAACAAGGGTTTTTTTCGGGGGGGGGGTCACTGGCTTTCAGAGCACCCAAACAAGGGGCTCCCTCTCATCCAACTCTTTAATCATTTGCCTGAGCTGGAGTTGAGCTCCAATTTTGGGCGGCAATGCTTTCTAGAAAGGCTGTCTGGGGTGAGAGTCATTGCTTACATCTGCATCCCCACCTGGAGGGAGAGGAGTTGGGGTGCAGACTCCATGGCTTGGGTGCTAGTTGACTCTTTTCATTTCAGAGTCACCTCTCCTGAGACGACTGAGACCCTCAAAGCCTGTCATGTTGAAATTGTTCCCATCCTCCATCTTCTTTGTGAGCAAAGGCTAAGCTCTGGTCTCAGAAAAAGAGGTCTGGTTTCCTCCTTATTCAGCACCCAGGAGCCACCGCGGGGGTTAGCAGCAACTCCCAGACAGACAGCAACCTTCAAACCTGAGCCCTGCCCACTGGGACACTCCACCCTTGTAGGGCACACGCCGGAGCCTAGATGCTCCTCTTCTAACTTCTTCCCTGAACTAAATGGCCCTCTTGACTTCCCTTGTTGGGAAGAAAGGCAGCAGCGACAAATCCAGGATGGGGAATGGCAACCACAAGGGCTGCAGTCAGAGTCCAGCGCCTGCACAGCCTGGGTCTGAAGAGCAGCCCAGCGCTGTGACTTTTCCATAAATAAAAAAAGTCCCTGCCCACAGTCGCATGTCCGTTTGGACCCTAATTTATATACTACAGAAAGCCATATACTCAGCCAGCCGTGCTTCATAACACCATTATTTATGGCAAGGGAGGAGATTTTTTTTTCCTGAAGAATATATTTATTACAGGTAAAGCCAACAGCAGGCTCCATACGTCTGGCAAATCGAGAACAGGTGCTTTGCCTTAACTGTGATTCATTCACTCTGCGCCCAGCTTTCTCGCTGAGTCGGGGTAGCTCCCTCGACTTTCCCAAGCGTCCAACGGCTACTTAGAATTTGCATTGGATTTGTTGTTTTCCCACTTGGGTCCCCTGGAAAAAGCAGATCTTCCCGCTCTTTGGTTTCGGATCTACCGGGCTGTTGTCTTCGGAGAGCTAGGGTGGAAAAGAAGGGGGGCTGGTTGGGCGACGGCATTGATCTTTAAAAAATCATTTTGAAATTGCCTTAATGTGAAGAAATATGGCGCTTTGCCCTCATATTTCACACATAATGACACGAGATGGCTTCATTTGGAAAGAAAAGCGGGCGGGAGGGTGTGCGTGTGCGGAGGTGATCCGCAGCCTTCTGCACAGCAGAGGGGTACATGGCCAAAAATGTAAAACCTCAAATTAGAATGGCTCCACTTTTGTTAAAATAATGGGCCTGGGGGCAACCTATCTTTTAAGGGCCCAGGGTTAGAGAAGGCCAAGAAAATCGGCCCCAGCCTGCCCCTAAACCCAACCCGAGGAGAATCGGGCCTGTCCTGAGGCCGCCCTGCCTGAGCGCCCACACCACAAGGAGCGACTGCACCCAGGGCAGAAACTGAAAGAGCAACGGCTGGGAGATGAGCCAGGAAGCCAGCCGGTGGTCCCAGGGGAGTCCCCGAGCAGGGCACGTAGAGTTGATACCAATAAAACAGGCGATTTGGAAGCTCCAGCGAGAGAGTCACAGGAGGAAAGGCGGCGGGTGGGCAGGAGACTGACCCGGCAGGCTCTCTGTCTATGCTGATGCCCAACACCGGTATTTGGAAATTTTTTGGAGCGACAGTTCGGGGTGAGAGGAGCAGGACAGGAGATGCGAAAGGCTCCCTCACAGGGTGGAAGGGGAGATAACTCCGGACCCCTTCCCACACCTCTGTTCTGCTGACACCTTAGGGAAATTCCCTTAACCCTTTGTCACGTTCAGCTCTCCCATCCGGGCAACTCTAAGGGCCTGGTGTGTTATTTAGTGGAGGAAGGAAGAAATGGCTGTGCACCCCCCATACGTCCCTCTGGCCAGGGCCAGAGAGAGGCCCAGGAAATTTAAAGGAATATTAAACGCTTTCAGAGGCTCAACTTTCCAGGGCCTGATGAATTCCTTTAACCTCATGTAGGTTCTCATTTGAGGACAGCAAAATTTTAGGACAGGATTTTGGGACACACACACCCTTATATTCCCCTCTCTTCTCTCTTAGCTGCTGAGGGGTCAGGAGAAGCTCCCAGGCCGGAAACTCCCCCAAAACAATCATAGAAAGTCCCCTCCAAAAGAGGATAACTTCTTTAAAATCCGCAACTTCTCTCCCCATCATCTCCAGTGGATTGCTGATGCGCTGTTGTTCAATAAACATCATGTGTCAAAGGGACAGAAGAGGAAACGAGGGCCTGCGGGGTGGAGTGGAGGTGTGTTTGTGTGTGTGTGTATTTGTGTGTGTGTGTGTGTGTGTGTGTGCGTGCGCGCGCGCGTGGTGGGGGGACAGGACCACTTCCTCTTTAATTGTGCTGTGGGCCCCTCTGGCCGCTCCTAGGCAAGGGCTCTCCCTCCCTCTGCCCTGCTCTCCCTCTCTCCCTCCCCGACCCGCCTGGGGAGAGGGCTCCACAGTCCGCGTCGCTCCCTAGGCAGCCCGCTGCTTTTCCCTCCGCCTCTCCTCCGCCCCCGCCGCCCCACGTCGAGAACTCCCCCCCCTTTCTGCAAAAGGCGGGGGGACCGGGCGGCCGGCGGCTCGGGCTGAGGTTACGTGGCCGCCGGAGCCCTGACGTGATAGCACATTGCATCAGCATAAAACAATCCATCCTCGATATGGAATGCGGTGAGGACGGATGACAGTGAGAGCGCAGCCCCCTCGCCGGATTGATTTATGTCGGAGCTGACGCTTTATCAGGCAGTCGGAAAAACTTTGACCAATCATTTTGCAAGAAGCGCTGAGCCGGGCTGCTCCACTGTACTTTGTTGGCTGAGAAGTTGAGCAGGGGCTGGGGGGGGTCGCGTCCGAAAGTCCTCACACCGGTCTGGGTGCCACCTCTCCCTGCTTGGGCGCCGCTGCGCGAGCGCTTCCCTTCCCCCTGCGAGCGCCCGGATAATGTCTGAGAATGTCCATTTCTGGGACGCTTAGCAGCTATTATGTCGACTCTATCATAAGTCACGAGAGTGAGGACGCGCCTCCAGCCAAGTTTCCTTCCGGCCAGTACGCGAGCCCCCGGCAGCCGGGCCACGCGGAGCACCTGGAGTTCCCCTCGTGCAGCTTCCAGCCCAAAGCGCCGGTGTTCGGCGCCTCCTGGGCGCCGCTGAGCCCGCACGCGTCCGGAAGCCTGCCGTCCGTCTACCACCCCTACATCCAGCCCCAGGGCGTCCCGCCGGCCGAGAGCAGGTACCTCCGCACCTGGCTGGAGCCGCCGCCGCGCGGCGAAGCGGCTCCGGGGCAGGGCCCGGCGGCGGTGAAGGCGGAGCCGCTGTTGGGCGCGCCGGGGGAGCTGCTCAAACAGGGCACGCCCGAGTACAGTTTGGAAACTTCGGCGGGCAGGGAGGCCGTCCTGTCTAATCAAAGACCCGGCTACGGGGACAATAAAATTTGCGAAGGAAGCGAGGACAAAGAGAGGCCGGATCAAAGTAAGTTATAAAAAGTGAGGAAATACCCAGGCCGAAGGCCAGGCGAGGGGGAGGGGAGAGGCGAGGCAATAAACTGCGGACAATGTGAAGGGAAACCGCAGCGGTGGCCTGAGAGCGAGCAGGGGAGGAGGAAAGAGGAAGGAAGGAAGCAAGCTGAGTGCCCCAAGGGGAACCCGAGGCCGCGGGAGGAGCGCCGCCCCCACCGCGCCAAGTCCTAGAGGGGACTGGGGCGCAGGGACCAGTTCGCTGCTCTCAGGCCCTCCCTTCCCCAACTCTCCCGGAGGCCCGGCTGAAAGCCGGGAAAGAGGCTGACGACGGCTGGCCGGGAGAGGAGCTGGCAGGGCCCGGGCGGCAGCCAGCGAGGCCGGGAGCCCACGCAGACGAGGGCGGGAGCGCGCGGGGCTGCCCCGGCTGGCGCGGCTGGCAGAGCTCCCCGCGCCACGCGCAGACCGTAAAAGCCGGCCAAGGGGAAGTGGGAGGGGGCTCATTAGGATTTTATTTGCGATGCAACAGCTTGGTGGAGGATCGAGCCTAGCAGATCCCGCGCAGTGGCCGCTCAGGGTCCGCAGCCGGCGCCAGGAGGGGCGGGGGTCGCCCAGGGCCGGGTGACTGAGCCCCTTCCTTGGATGCGCCGGCTCCTCCCCGGGAGTCTTCCCTCCGGCCGCCCCCTCCCCTCCTTGGCATCCTCTCCTGGGTTGTGGCTTCCTTTTCTGCAGCCCCCCCCCCGCCGCTCTCCGCAGGGCTCCTTAGCTCCAGCCAGCACTGTCCACCTCGCAGGGAGTCGGGAATCGTTTCCGGGACTTCGGGGCCCACAGCCAGAGCAGAGAGAAGGAGAGATCCCGAAAGAACCCTGGGGAGAGGAAGGGTGGGAGGAAGAGTGGTGTGCGAAGAGGTGGAGAACTTTACTCTCCGACGGTAGTTTCTCATCACCTCCCACTCCTCCGAAAGCACCCCCGCCAGGAACCCAAGTCTGGCCAATTTCCAGGAGGTACTGTTGGCTGAGGGTGGTGGTGGTAAGAAGTCTCGTATTTTTCATTGTTAAGATGGAGAAAGGCAAATTGGTAGCCCCAACCAATAATCCTCAGGGTGGCAGAGACAAATCCTCACCCCTTCCTGTTTTGGGGGAGTGGGGGTCAGATTTTTTAGTCTCTGCTTGCCTTGCCAGGCTTCCCACCAATAGTGGTGTACAGGCCTTTTGGGGCAACCTCACTGCCCCACTCCCTTCCTTAAGGTTCCTGTGGGGTCCCACCTGCCAGGTTGAATCACAAGAGCTGGCATTTGAGTAACACCGAGTCTTCCCAAACCCTCCCTGCTCACACCCAAACAGACCCCTCCACCCCTAAACCCCCAAACTCTGCCTGGAAAGCCCATTATTGCAAGGCAGCAGTTTGGTTAGAATCAATTATTAACAGTTTTTTTTCCTCTTTCATATTTAATGCAACTGCGGGTCCCATCACAGGCAATCACATTAAGGAAATAGCGCTGCAAATTGGTAAGAAATGGTACTTAGTGTAGGATGAACCAGATTATTTTTAAAAAATATATTCAGTGCTTTTTATTTGGGAAGAAGGAATCTAGCGGAGGGGGACTGTTATTTTTAATTGGCTCTGCTTTATTTGGCAACTTTTCTGAGTTCCAGAGTAGGGAGAAGAGAAGCCTGTATATATTTTGTTTCCTGTTTTCCTCCCCTTCCACTCAATTACCCCTTTCTCTGTTCCCCCTCACCACATGGAGTTAGGTGTGCTGTGAAGGGCTTTCTGTTACCCCCACATCATCCATAGCTCCCCACCTTGGGACTGGAGCAATATTGCTTCCAAATTTCCCTGAACTTGCTTTAACCAAACTGCGAGCTGTGCAGGAGTGGAAAAGGAGAGACTATTGCAACCATAAGTTATCTGTGAGCCCCTGGCGCTCTCTTGTCCACAGGCTGGAGTTGATAAATGGTTGCAATTGGGTTGCTTGTGAATTGCGGTGTGCTGGATGTTTGCGTCTCTAAGTGTGGACCCATATTGGTGGTGTGTGGTGTGGTGGTGGGGGGCAGATATCTACACAGACACACATGCCTGCTGCCATGTGGCTAAGAGACAGATGCGAGATTGCAAATCAAGGCAGGGTGTACTGGGACTGCACTTGAGAGCCAGGAAATCTCAGCTGTGGCTGAATAGAAGCTGCACTCCTCCAGTCCAATACTTCTCTCACCTCCCAGACCTATAGCCAGGACCCTTCAGGTCAACCACCCCTAGTTAGATTGGTGGTGCTGGGTGGGGGGCTTTTGTCATGCTGGGCTCTGACCTGAGTCCTAACCAGTTTGGACCCAAGTGGAGAAAGAGAAACTGAGGCAGTTAAAGCTTTGGAAGTGCTGAGCAGCCTGGCACATGGTTGGCTCCCTCTTGTCCAAATAACCTCTCCTCTGGAGGTGTCCATAGAAACTCCTGGCCCATCTCTGGGACCCTTTCTGGGAACTTGATGGCCCAGGTGCTTCTTTCTCCGATGGGGAGTGGAGACCAGGGGTGCGCCCTCTTGGAAGGAGAACACGAGGGCCCTTCGTCTCCCCTTCCTTTCTTTGATTCTATCGCTGCTTCTCTTTCAGCCAACCCCTCCGCCAACTGGCTGCACGCTCGCTCTTCCCGGAAAAAGCGCTGTCCCTACACCAAATACCAGACGCTGGAGCTAGAGAAGGAGTTTCTGTTCAATATGTACCTCACCAGGGACCGTAGGCACGAAGTGGCCAGACTCCTCAATCTGAGTGAGAGACAAGTCAAAATCTGGTTTCAGAACCGGCGGATGAAAATGAAGAAAATGAATAAGGAACAGGGCAAAGAGTAAAGATTCCCCCCTTGCTCTCCCCACCCTTTTCCCATCTCATGCTTATTTATAAGTGATGGCTGCAAAGCCAGTGCTGTCGGGGATGTATTCAAGTGAGTGGGGAAGGGAGTCTTTCTCTTCCAAGTCCTTTCCTGCATCTAGAGCCTATCTCCTTTCCTTTGCCCTTACTTGCCCTCCTCTCCCTGGGCCTCAGGAGGAAGTTTTGTTAATTTAGCAGGTAGATGTAGTTGGTTCCTAAGAAGTGGGTGGGCCACAAGGAAAAAGAACCTAGTCGAGCCCCTAGCCACCCCCCTCCATCTAATTTTTCTGGGAAGCCCCAGCCCCTCATTTCCAGCCTGCCTGTTTCCCCGACACCTATCCCAAAGTCACCCAGGGACATTCCAGCTGCACATATCCCAGCAGATGCCCACGTACATAAAGCCTGGAGCCCACAGTAATAACGGAGAAAGCTCACAGCCAACACTCAAATGAAGTGACTTCTCAAATGCAGACCACCGTACCCAAAATCTGGCAGAACAGCCAGGAGACCGTCAGGCAAGATTCTATCCCTGACGCAAATACACAGCAAGATGTCTAGAGACACACTCCTGAATCAGGCACTGCAGCCCACAGGGCTGAGCATCACAATATCATCCCTATGGAACCCCCAGCTCTACCCTGCCCGACCCAAGGGCAAAGGGGGTAAAAGCCCCCAAGCTGGTGGGCTAGAAAGGGCAAGGGAAGGCAGCGGTGGTCTTATGAAGGTATCTTAGGTTTGATGAAGGTATTCCACATACACATTTTGTTGCAGGAAATGTTTAATTCTGCATGTTGTTTTCCTCTCCTTCCAACAAAAGGAGGTCAAATTGTGGGTCGTAAGCCTTGACAATGTCGTCCGTCTGTTCAGCTGTGCCCCGCTTGACAGAGACTGTAGCTCCTCTTGCTCTCCACCGGCCCCTGCATTCTTCCGCATCCTCCCTGCTCTGAAATCAACTCGGTTCGGCCAAATCCACCTTGCATCAGCGAGTCAAGCCGCCCCTTGTAGAAAACCCCTCCACCCTCCATCCCCTGCTAGGTCAACCTCGCCCTAGGCAGGAAAACCAGGGCAGGAGAGTCCCATGGAGAATTTATTAGGAATCGATTCCTGAGCTCGCTGCCGGGCTAAGTTGTAGGGGACAGGGAGCCAGCAACGCCTCCAGCGCGGCGTTAGACGCGTTCCTCTCCCCATCCTGTCCACTTCCCGACCCATGCGGAGGAGCCCCGGGCTTGGCGACTGCCAGCCCCAGCGCAGAATGAGACTGGCGTCAGCGCCGGGCTTTGCCTGCCGCGCGACTCGGGCCTGGATGGCAATCTGCGCGGCTACTGCGCTCACGCTCCGGGGAACAGTCCCGCGTGCGAAGGAGAGAGGCAGAGTTGCACCTCAGCAGCAGGCCGAAGCTTACTCTGTGCTTCCCTGCCGCCCCCTGCTCTCCCACCTCTTCAATCCCTTTCAATTCCATGGACTCTTGCTCCTGCTTCTCCCGCCCCTGCAAGGGGACGTTCCAGTAGAACTTTTTTGCTTTGTCGGTGGCTGTCGTGAAATTGTGCTGTGTTTTGTGATTTCTTTGGGGGTGATTGTCTCGCCTGTTTTCAGTTGTCGCTTCTGTGGGAGGGTGGTGGGTGGGAATGGGGAGGGTGAGGGGGCCTAGAGCTCTGATTGTTTGTTTTGGAAGAAAAAAAAGAAAAAGAACAAAAATATATATATCACTCTAGAAAATAAATCTCTCCTTGTGTCTTATTCTGTGTTGGCTCTCCTCATCTGGCCAGAGGTAGAGATCCTAGTTCCAAGAGGGTGCCTTGGACAAAAGAGACTCCTGTGCCCAAGAAGTTTCTCCTTAGACCTTGCAGAGCAGGCTTCCTGGTGAGCTGAGCGCTAGTCCCGACCCAAGGTCCCAAGCCCACTGCCGAAATTGAGTAAGAGCCTGTCAGCAGGAGAGCTGGGAGACTGGCGCGGGAGGAATAGAAAGGTGAGCCGTTTGGAGAGGGGTCACATCTTGCTTCCTCCAAAGTTGTACCGGGGTCCTCCTGGCCAACTCCAGAGCCAGAGAGAAGGCAAAGCCTTCCCTGCCGCTCCTGGAAGCAGGTCCTCTCTCAGCCGGCTGAGAACGTCACCTTGGTTTGGCCACTTAAAAATATTATGCATGTGAAGAAGGCAGTAGTTTCCTCGTCTTGCTTCCTGAAGCAGGGCGACTGGGTATAGGCAGAGGCCTCTGGAAGGCCAGGCTCGCCTTCCTTCCACTCAAAAGGAGCAAACCTCTCAGGGTTCTTGGTCCTCACCTGGAAATTGGGACCCCAATTTGAGCCACAGGGGAGCAGCCTTGGTGTAAGGCGTGTGGAGGTTGGTAGGGGTGGAGGCCTGGGGAGGCAGCTCCCAAAGGCAGGGGAAAGGGATTGAATGTGGAATAGAAGTGTCTCAAGAGCAAAGAAATCCCTTTCTCAATCAGACCCCAGAACTAAATTCTGTTCAAAGAGACACCTTTCTGTCCTCAGACTGTGGTGTCCCCGCCAGAGCCCCTTATGAAGACCGCTGTTCTCGGGGAGCCCTGCCTCTCTCATTCGGGCTTTGGGATTCGCCTTCTGCACGGCTGGCGCTTGGGAACCGGCCTCCGACCAGAGGCTCGGTTCACCCGGCCACCCCAGAGGTTTGCAGCCTGCAAGGACCCTGAGGGTTGGGGTAGAGGTGGGGACAAAGAATAAACCGAGTGCAAGAATCCTGGAAGTGAAAAGACCGGGCCTACCCCTCTCCAGCGAAGGAAAGGATGTACTAATCGAAGGGATGGCAGGAAGCAGGAGAAAGCGAAGCGCCTGGGTATGGCAAGGCCCAGCACCCTCATCCTCCTAGGAGGGTTCCATTCGGGAAATAAAATGAATCTGGCTTTAGAGCTTGTGTAGACGAGGCTCCCTCCCCATCCTGGGTTCCCTGGAGCCAGCCGGAGCTGAGAGTGAGCCGAGAAGGGCTGGTTCCGCCCAGAGGAAACGCAAAAAGCGAGGCTGGGACCGGACGGAGTGCTGCGGGGTAGGGGGCGACGGCCCCGGGAGAAGCCTCCGGCGATGTCTGGGTCCTTAGCCGGGGTGGCTTCTTTAAAGAGAAACAAAGGCGAAGATGCAGAGGCTGGGAAGCCGGAGATGGGGAAATCTGTTGTCGTAAAAGAGAGCGAGAGATTCAGAGAAGGAGACCGCAAGAGTGCGAGACAGAGAAGCCAGGAGAGGAATTCAATGCCGTGTGCGCAGCAATAAAAGAATATGACCGCTATAAAAGTTTATAGCGTATAAATTTCTGAAGGTTAAGAAACTAAACAGCAGCAAAGCAAACAGTGAGGGGAAACTTTCCGGAGCCGAGAGAGTCGCAGCTGGGCCAGGGCTCCAGGCCTCGTGGGGGGAATGGGTGGGCCTGACTCCGCAGCCCCCACTCTCACCGCCCAGTACAGAGCTTAGGGTTTCCGGGGCCCCAGGGGGCAAAGAGGGGAGAAGAGGGAAGGGCGAGGGAAGAACACTTTGTTGTCACAAATGCTTTAGAGAACGCAATCGGGACTCTCGCCTTTGTTCTTTACACCCCCCTTCAGAATCGGACGTCATAAAGAAGCCCCCTGCGTGCGCGCGCGCGCACACACACACACACACACACACACACACACACACACACACACACACACGTCCGGCGGGGCCAGACGTCTGGGCGCGGGCAGCCTCTTGATCCTTTTACAGTCCCACTCCACCCTCTCAGGCCTCCTCTCCCCCCACAAAAAGCCCAATTGTTTCTCCTCAGAATTTGAAACAATCGTGTTGGGTTTGAAAAGTGCTCAGCTCCCCCTTTTACGGGTCATAAACGGTGCACTGCTTGGCGGTCTCTGCCAGAACTTAGGGACTTGAAATGGGGGAAGGGGGGCTCAGTACGAGAGAAAAATGGCTTATAGCTTCTTTTTTTGCTCTCCACCCCCCTCACCATTTTTTTTTAGCTTATCTGCACAATTTCATGAACCATTTCCTGATTTCCGATGCCTTTTCTCTCGCCCGCTCTCGTTTCCCTCCCTCCTTTTCTGCCAATAAAGAGTTTCTCCCGCTGGTCGCCTGGGTGGCTGGCTTTCCGAAAAACTGACCAAGCCGGTGGCGACGGCGCCTTTTCTCAGAATGACCGCTAGATGGCACTCTTGCTCCACGTGAAAATCCCTGGTGCGGCGGCTGCGAGCGCTGATGGCTACACAGCGCACCTTGGTCGACCCTGAATCTACGAATTGAGCGCTACCAAAAGTCATGAATAATTTGCGCGTAATAAAAATATAGGGTTGATTATGGCGTTCCCCCCTTTTTATAGTTTTCAGATGTAGTGGTGCTGCCCCCCCCCTCCTGAAATGGACAATTTTTTGAATTTCCCCCAGGAGGAGGGCTCAGTGCTTCTCACCCAGTTTCTGTGTTCGGTGGGGCAACAACTGCATGAAAATCGGGGGTAGTAGTAGTAATAATAATAATAATAATAGGAATAATGGATCTAAATAAAAGAGGAAAATTGGTTCGAGAAAATAAGATTGTCCCGGGAGGGGAGCGACAGGAGTGTCTGCAGATGCGAGTGAGCAGGTCAGGTGAGAGGGGAGAGCCGGCAGAAGAAGGTCGGATGTAGAGGAGGCTGCGGGGAACCTGCTGCCGGGATCGGCAGGAGAGGGAGCCCGGTGAGCCAGCCCGGGGGTGGGGTGGTGGTGGGAATAATTTAGGGGGAAATGGATCTCTGGCTTTGGTGGGGATTGGAGGTGCACTGGGTCAGCGGGGCGGCTCCGCTCGGACCAAGGCTCCAAGAGCCTTTGTAAGTGTCGGAGTCTGGGCTGGGCGCGCGACCCAGGCGCGGAGCAGGGACTTCCCGGAATCACGAGGTGCGAGAAGGCTCGAATATTTCCTCCGTTGTTCTGCGCTCCCAAGTTGGACTGCTAAAAATATGCGCGTTTTCCGGATGGATGGGGACAGGCACGGCGGCGGCTGGGTTCAGGAGCTCGGTTCTCCCTGCGGTCAGTTTTTTCCAGGTGAGAGCTCTGGCTCCCTGCACAAACCTGAGGGACACGGGTCCTTCCGCAATTTAGCAGCTGGAGGCCTGGACTCGGGGCGTTTTTCGTTCTGAGACCCGCGCTCTACTCCACAGCCCCCTACAAATCTCCCATGTGCTCCTGGCGCAGCCCGATCTGTGCCCCCCATCCGGACAAACCTGTGTGAGAAATAGATTCCGCCCCCTCCTTTAAATTAGCCGGGCCGCAGCCTCTACTCTCTTCCCCCAGGAGCGGGTGCGAAGAGGCGAGCGGAGTTTCTCAACTTGAGTTTCTCTAATAAATCTGCGCTCCGTTGGGTGTTTATAAATTATCTCCTCGCTCTTTCTTGTTTTTTCTTATAATAGAAACATTTTCCTTCCATCAGGAATTTCTGGCACGGTGTAGGGATGATTTAGAACAAGCCATTGAATTTCTACCTCACCGGTGAGTCCTCAAATCATGACCATAAAATTTCCCGCACTTGATAAAAACGTTCTCTTCGGCAACAACTTAACTCTCTCTTCGGCTGCCTCACCGCCCTCTGAAAATTCAAGACCTTTCCCTTTCTTTTCTCCTCTCTCTTTCTCTCTCTCCCCCGTCAGCCCTTCTCTCCCATTCTCCGGATTCACTTTTGAAGGATCAAGTGGCCTCACTGGTAACTTCCCCTTAGAAAAGTGATGGTTTCATTTTTACACAGGTCGAGGTGAATGGGATCCCTAAAAAGCACCCCTCCAAATACACAGCAAACCACTCTCCTGAATAAACAATGGATTGAATATATTTGTAAAGCCTCCACCTTTTTGCTAGAAATTTTCTTTCTCTCTCTCCCTTCTTTCTTTCCTTTCCTTCTCTTGGCCAGTGAACCCCTTCAGGAAGCCACTGGTTTGGACCCTCAGACTGGGGCCTTCTAAAGCCTGGCCACCATCCGTCACTAGGCCTAGTAGGCGAGGAAAAGCCACCGGCATGAAAGTGTGGCACCCAGTCAGTTCTGTCCTGCTGTCTGTTTCAGGACCCAGGTCCTCAGTTCTGGAGGGAGAGTTGGGCTTAACTAGAGGGTCCCCAAGGGGGAGGAGGTCCAATGGGGGACTCAGTGGCTTTGCTGCATCTAAATCCCCTCTTCCCCAAGGTCAGCTTATGCAGTGACAGTGGCTCAAAGGACTCTGAAAGCTAAAAGGTGCCCCCTTCATACATATACGTTACATCCACTGCCCTGGGCCCAGGCGGGCACAGGACAGCAGGCACCAAGGCCAGGCGCCAGAGCCTCAGCGCTCAGCAGCAGCCTCCATTGCCCTTCCCTCCCTTTGATGTGCTGATAGGCTTGGCGTGCCCTCTCACCCTAGGGTGCAGTGGGAGGTGTGGAGGACTGGCCTGGGAAGGTTGGGAGTCATTTGAGCTTGGTTTACTGGGTCCCAAGGCCTGGTTGCAGGAGTGGGGCAGCCCAACTGGGTGTCATCCTGCTGGTGGCATCAGGACCCTCTCCCATAACACAAAGTTGGTCCCCCAAAGTGCTGACTGGGCCCAAGTATCTTCTAGGGCCTCCCCTCCCTATTCCAGCACTCCTGCCTTCTCCCTCAGGCCAACCGAGGTTGTGAAAAACTGCAGTATCCTCAGTTACAGGGGAGAACTTTGCTGGGTGCTTCACCACTGCCCATTAACCTGAAAGTTTCTTATCCTGTCCTGGTCCCTTCTCAAGCCCTTCCCCACCCCTTCTCCAAAGAAAATCCTTGCTTGTTTGTTTAATGAGGGAAAGTTGGTGAGTGGTCTGGGTTGGGCACACAGGGGGTGGCTTGGGGGCTCCAGAGATGGGGTGGGGGCAGGTGCCAGAGCTGAAGGAGGCAAAAATCTCTCGGAAAATTCAGCTGAAAAACCGATAATCTTTCTCATTTCGGCTTTGTCACCCCCACCGTGCTGCAGTCGGGCGGCGGGGGCGATCGAAGCTGCAGTTTTATAGCTGTAGAGGAAAGAACTCGTAAAATGCTAACAGCTTTTATGCGCTGCGGCATAAACAACAACAGACTCGGGCTTTATTGCGTTTTATAGTTTGTTAAAGAGTTTACAGCCGTTTTTTGGGGGGCCGGTTACCCAGCCAATTCCCTCCACACGATAGTTAAACCTTTATCAATAATAAGGAAATTGATCATTAAAGCCTTAAATATGACTACCTCGTTTGTTTGAAAATATGTTTAGGAGAGGAAGCTGTATGATTTGATAACTTGTATTAAAATACCAATTACATTTATAGGACCTTTTAAAACTCGGCGCAATTAAACCGTGTTCTTTTACATTTTTCCAAAGCGACCCTGACATTTAAAAAGACTCCAACTGCCTCGTTAAAATCGCGAAATTAACAGCGTGCCTACGCCTGGCGCGTTGTATCTCTGTGTGTGCGTGTTTTTTTCTGTGACTCCCCCACATCAGTCTTTGGGGGTGGTCTGCGAAGGTATTTGATTTGTTGTGAGGCGAGAGATATCTCATTAATGTAGGTAGTTAAACAGATTTAATCCGTATTCATTCTCTCTCTCACCCCCTCTCCCTCTCCCCCTGTCTCTCCCCCTCGCCCCCTCTCTCTCCCTGGGTGTTTTTTTCTTCCCCTCTTTTTTTTTTTTCCTCACTCTCTCCTCACTCCCAGGCGCTCTCTCGCTCTAGCTCTCTCTCTCGCTCGCTCTCTCTCGCTCTCACCCTCGCTCTGCGTTCTGTCCGGGAGGAGTACGGAGAAGCCAATAGGATGCGGGGTCTCTAATGGATGCAAATGATCATGAAAAGACAGTGCAAAATATGAAACAACTCATTTGCAGGGAAGTAAATCACCGAAAACTGTTTATGAACTGGCATCCCTTCTTCGAAATGTAAAGCGAGGACCTCTTTAAGTGGCGGTATATTTTTGTTTGGGGGGTGGGGGGTGGGGGGAGGGCGAGCGAGCCGCGGCTGCCATGCAAGCTTAGACTTTTGGAGGCTTCGCTGTCCTTTTCTATTCCTGGAAATCACAAAAAGTGTGGTGGCTTCGAGATCTTCTTCGCCTTTTCTTTCTTTCCTTTTTTTTTTTTCCTCCCCTCCTCCCTTTCCCTCTCCTTTCCTGGCGAGGGTGACTAGGAGCCGGCGAATCCGCGTTTTTTTTCTCTCTCTCTCCCTCCCTTTCCCCCTCCCCACCCCCTCCCCAACAGCCCCCAACTACAGTCGCCGCCGCCGCCGCCGCCTCAAAATTCAATAAAATGAGCTCTTATTTCGTCAACTCACTGTTCTCCAAATACAAAACCGGGGAGTCCCTGCGCCCCAATTATTATGACTGCGGCTTCGCCCAGGACCTGGGCGGCCGACCCACCGTGGTGTACGGTCCCAGCAGCGGCAGCAGTTTTCAGCACCCGTCGCAAATCCAGGAGTTCTACCACGGGCCGTCGTCGCTGTCCACGGCTCCCTATCAGCAGAACCCGTGCGCCGTGGCGTGCCACGGGGACCCCGGCAACTTCTACGGCTACGACCCGCTGCAGCGGCAGAGCCTGTTTGGTGCGCAGGATCCAGACCTGGTGCAGTACGCCGACTGCAAGCTCGCGGCCGCCAGCGGCCTGGGAGAGGAGGCCGAAGGTTCAGAGCAGAGCCCGTCGCCCACCCAACTCTTCCCCTGGATGCGCCCGCAAGGTGAGCTCGCGGCCGGGCCGGCGGGACTGGAGGGAGACCCGAGGGCCCGAAGCTGGGCAGGGGGCCGGGCAGGCCGGGGAGCGTTTCCCCCAGCGTCTGGAAAACGTGCCTGTTCTGTTCAGATGGCCTCCCACTTCCTTCCTTCCTTCCTTCCTTCCTTCCTTCCTTCCTTCCTTCCTTCCTTCCTTCCTTTTTTTGTTTCCCTTGAAGGAGGGTCGCTAAGCGACATTTCCTGAATCCATAAACCCCTCACCCCGCCTTACTTTCCTTCCTCTCCCCCTCCTTTTTTCCCCTTTTACTGTTTTATGGGGGGTAGTGGAGAGAGGGTGGTGGGAGTAGGGGCGCTCAACTTTTGCACTTCTCAATTGCTTTATAGTTTAATTACCCTGAAGAAACTTTTCTTCTGGGGCAGAGGCTCTGGGGGCTTTTCGAGGTGGGTCCATTCGTCCCCATCCCGGCTTTTTTATTCTTATTTTCCCCCTCCTTCACATTCTTCCTTCTGAAGTTTATGGTACTTCTAATAGATTTGAACCACCCCCACCCAACTCTGGTGCTGGTTACCAGGGGAGGGGGCTCCCCCTTTCTGGCTCCCTTAGATTCAGTGGCGTCTGATCCTCCTCACCTCCCCCTCCCCCGCTGACCGCGGCCTCCTAGCGCCCCCACCCCCGCGCGGGGATAGAAGGTCTCCTGCCCTTATTATACTGGTCTCCTAGGCTGGTTCACGAATCTTCCAACCTTCTCCGTCTCTGCCCCCTCCCCCACTCTCCCCTCCCCTCTGTCTCGCCCTTTCCCCCATTCCCAGCAGCCGCCGGACGCAGGCGAGGCCGACAGACCTACAGCCGCTACCAGACCCTGGAGCTGGAGAAGGAGTTCCTATTTAATCCCTATCTGACTCGCAAGCGACGGATCGAGGTATCGCATGCGCTGGGACTGACAGAGAGACAGGTCAAAATCTGGTTCCAGAACCGGAGGATGAAGTGGAAAAAAGAGAACAACAAAGACAAGTTCCCCAGCAGCAAATGCGAGCAGGAGGAGCTGGAGAAACAGAAGCTGGAGCGAGCCCCGGAGGCGGCAGACGAGGGCGACGCGCAGAAGGGCGACAAGAAGTAGGCTCCAGCTGGGACTGCCAGGGCTGCGGCCGCCCTCCGTCCGCGGGTCCCCCGACTGCGCCGCCGTCGCCCGCCCCCGCCCGAGAGAGCTCTGGTCCCGGGAGTCGGCCCGGAGCCTGGCCTCCCACCGCTGCGTCCCCGCCGCGCCAGTCCCCGCTAGTGGTAGTATCTCGTAATAGCTTCTGTGTGTGAGCTACCGTGGATCTCCTTCCCTTCTCTTGGGGGCCGGGGGAAAGACAAGGATTGTAAGCAAGGACTCCCTCGCTTAGCGAGGGTGAGCGGCTGCAGCTTGGCTGAGCCCCCCACCCCCCGCCCCCGCCCAGTGTAAAAAGCCTCCTTGTGCAATGGTCTCTTTTCCTTTGAACGTGCTTCTTTGTAATGACCGAGGTACCGATTTCTGCTAAGTTCTCCCAACAACATGAAACTGCCTATTCACGCCGTAATTCTTTCTGTCTCCCTCTCTCTCTCTCTCTCTCTCTCTCTCTCTCTCTCTCTCTCTCTCTCTCTCCCTCCCCTGTTTCTCCTTCCCCATTTCTCTCCTCTCACCCTTCTTTCCCCGCTGCCCTCCTAGCTCGCTGGCTTTCTCTCTAGCTTCTCTCTNTTTTCCTTTGAACGTGCTTCTTTGTAATGACCGAGGTACCGATTTCTGCTAAGTTCTCCCAACAACATGAAACTGCCTATTCACGCCGTAATTCTCTCTGTCTCTCTCTCTCTCTCTCTCTCTCTCTCTCTCTCTCTCTCTCTCTCTCTCTCCCTCCCTCCCCTGTTTCTCCTTCCCCATTTCTCTCCTCTCACCCTTCTTTCCCCGCTGCCCTCCTAGCTCGCTGGCTTTCTCTCTAGCTTCTCTCTTTTCCTCTGCTCACCCCCCTTTGGTTTGACAATTTCGTCTTAAGTGTTTCTCAAAAGAGGTTACTTTAGTTAGCATGCGCGCTGTGGGCAATTGTTAAAAGTGTTCTTAGGTTTACTGTGAAGAGAATGTATCCTGTATCCGTGAATTGCTTTATTGGGGGGAGGGAGGGCTAATTATCTATTTTGTTGTTCCTCTATACTTTGTTCTGTTGTCTGCGCCTGAAAAGGGCGGAAGAGTTACAATAAAGTTTACAAGCGAGAACCTGAGACTGGCCAGGCCCGCGCTCCTCATTTGCTCCCGGTGCCTTGCAGACCTGAGGGGAGCCGGTCACCGGGATCCTGCGCCCGCCAGACAAGGCCGCAGAGAGGAGGGGGCGGGGGCTGGAGGCAGGTGGTGCTAGTCCCTTGGCCCAGGGACGCAGGGGGTGAGGGAGGCGGCTGCGCGTGATTGGAGGAGAGAGGAGCGAGGGAGGGGAGCCAAGAGAAACCCCCTCCCTTCGCGTTCCGAGGCTGCCTGGCCCTGGAGACCCGGCGCCCGGGCCACGCTAGAGAGATGTGCCAGGGCTGGTGGCTACATCCCCGCAATCTTCCCCTTTGTTTCTGTGTGCCCTCTCCAGTGTGTCGGGAAGGCGGTAGGGAGGCGGTAAAGGTGGAGTGCAGGGCTGCTGAACAAGTTTAAGCTTATATATTTTTATTTTGCCCCGGACTTCGCTGGGGGAGAGCAGGAAGAGAAGTGAGATGCTCTTCCCCGCCTCTCCCTCTGACACTTGGCCACCTTTGCTGGGCTCCGATGTCGTGGCTCACCGCCTTCCTTCCTTCGCTCTCTCTGCTTCTCCAGCAGCCGCTCCGCGGAGGCATCCGCCTCCCGGAACCAGGAGAGTAGCTTACCCGGCCGCCCTCCTCCCTTCCTTTCTCTTCCCACCTACCTCCACCCCCTTCCTTTTTTATTTTCAAACTTTTTTTTTTTAATTTTAGTCACCAGAAACCGCAGCATCCCACGCCTGTGGGCTGGATCCGCGCCTCTAGGAGCACCCACGAAGCCTGGCTCCTTCCCTGCCTGTATGTCCGGGGCATCGAGAGAGAGCCTGACGCCAGGCTCACCTCGAGAGAACAGGGCCGAGTTCCCTCAAAGGCCCAGCCAGGCTGAACTTGTCCGGATTAATAAAGACCTGACTTGCCCGCACCCAGCTGCCCCGTTGCGTGCAATCCCTGCGTTTGTTTCTCTCTGGGTCACGGGCTGGGGAGGAGGGGTGGGGGCGACAACACGGGTCGCTTGGAGGTTATTTATTTTCCCTTCCACTCAATCCCTTCCTCCCCAAATCTCGCCTGCAAGCTGCCTCCAGCCCATGGGGGTCAACAGCGGCCCTTGAGCCCCCAGCCCCAATACACAGGTCTTAGCTTCCCCCATTCATTATTGATCATATTTTATAAATCTAACGCCACACAATTTTTTCCACATTACCGGGAGCCGTGGGGAGGCTGCCTAGCCATTGGCGGAGGGAACGTCACGAGGGCGGGGTCACGTGGTCCAGAGAGGAAAAAGGGGGTCCTTTTTGGTGTAAATCTGGACTCTAATTCTGTAATATATCAAGGAATCTCGTAAAACCGACACTAAAACGTCCCTGCCTACAAATCATCCGGCCAAATTATGAGTTCATTGTATTATGCGAATGCTTTATTTTCTAAATATCCAGCCGCAAGTTCGGTTTTCGCCACCGGAGCCTTCCCCGAACAAACTTCTTGTGCGTTTGCTTCCAACCCCCAGCGCCCGGGCTATGGAGCGGGGTCGGGCGCTTCCTTCGCCGCCTCGATGCAGGGCTTGTACCCCGGCGGGGGGGGCATGGCAGGCCAGAGTGCAGCCGGCGTCTACGCGGCCGGCTATGGGCTCGAGCCGAGTTCCTTCAACATGCACTGCGCACCCTTTGAGCAGAACCTCTCCGGGGTGTGTCCCGGCGACCCCGCCAAGGCGGCGGGCGCCAAGCAGCAGAGGGACTCGGACTTGGCGGCCGAGAGTAACTTCCGGATCTACCCCTGGATGCGAAGCTCAGGTAACGCCGCGCACCGAGCCGTCCCAAGCCGCAGTGGCCCGGGCACATTCCCCGGAAGGCGCCCCCTTCCAGGCCAAGTGCCCCTTTTGGCGTCCACAGTGCTCCCCGTAGGAGGTGAGCCCTAGGGACAAGGCACCCCCTTGGCCTGCAACCCGGCGTGGCGCCCCCACCCCCATTTTTGCTTGGTGCTCTCAGGCTCGCTCTGCTTCCCGGCGGCTCTCTCACCGCCGACGCCGCGGCGCTCCGAGCCCCCAACTCGCCCCCCACCCTTCCTCCCGGCCTTTTAGCTTTAAATATTTATCAGCTGCGCCGGCACGGGCTGGAGACGAGGCCGTTTGTCTTGCGGAGGAAGGCTGGGGTTTGCAGAGAATAGCCATTAGGGTCTCCCCCCTCCCTTCTCCCTTCCTCCCCCCAGGGATCTCAGCTCTGGGTGTGTCCCCCAGCCCCAGCTTGGATAAGGTCTGGGGGAGGGGGCCGCAGCTCTCAGCAATTCTCCCCTCCCCCTTCCTTCCCAGCCAACCCGGCTCCCCTATTATTCCCTTCTGGACAATTAGAGGTGGGCTCTAGAGGCCCAGTGGAGGAGGGGGTATGAGAGATTAGGATCCAGCCAGGGACAGAGAGCCAGAGAGGCAGGTGGAGAGAGGGGGCGCTGAGGCCAAGAGAGATGAGGTTCCTGACCCCCCAGTGAACTTGGGAAGGGGACAGCAGAACTAGAGAAAGAGGCAGACACCTCATGGGAGTACAACTGGCTTCCTCAGGTGCCCTTCCTAGGGCTCCTAAGTGCCCTGGGAGAACTGGCCAACAAGTTTACCAGTATCATTCCAGAAGCGTGAATGTCCTCTTGGGAGAGTCACTAGGACTTTATAGAGTTAAATCAAGAGTTAGAAAGTGCAGGCCACTGAGCCAGCTGCTGTAGGAACCCCAAGAGACCAGGGGTTCCATAAGGTCTCCTGACAAGCCTGTCCCAGACATCCTTCTTAACGCTGCCCTGGGCTCAGGGGCCCAGGGGCCAGAAGGCCCAAGACTTGTGGTCAGAGGGTCCCAGTTCAGCCAGGGTTGAGGACCAGGAGAAGCCCAGCTCTTATGCCATCAGTATTGGTGGTCACGGTCCCATTACCTGCTCTGTAATTCAACTGCCTTTCCAGTTGATTTATCAAAGCCCAAATTTTTCTGCTCATAAACATTTCAGTTTGGCTTTTATCTGACCTGAAATTAGGGGCCCTGCTCCCTCCTCCCACCTGCCTCTTCCCTGGAGGACTGGCACTAGCACCTCCCCCAACACAACCTCCCCAAGGCTCCTCAGGGTTTGGGGCCTAACCCCGGGGCCCAAGACCCTGTCCTTCAGCCCCCACCACTCAGATACTTCATGTTCCACTCCAATTCAGGCTGCTGTCTCTGCTTTCCCTCTGTGCCTTCCCAGAGGCCCAAAGGTTGCTCTGGAGAGCTGGGTTGTCTGGGCAGGTAGGCAGTCAGGACAGCCGGGCTTTGTCAGAACCTCAGCCACTCACTGGAAAATAGTCATTGTCCAAGGAAATCTGCAAATTCTCACTTCCTCCTCATGCCATAACAGGCTGGCAGGGCAGGGAGGGGGAGACTTGTGGAGGGACGGTGGGTATGTGTGTGAACCACTGGACCTGTGAGGGTCCTTTGTCTCCTTTTCTTTGGGGGAAAAGCACTCAGACTCTAGAGCTTTACTCCAGGGCTACTTACGTGCTTTCCATTGCCCCCAACCCCAAAGACCATCAGAGTCCGCATCCAAGAGGGGAAGCTTGGGGTCTTGGTCCTGAGGGTGATGGGAAAATTAAGTTCCCTTAATCCCACATACACCCCTTAGACGCTGGGCCTTTACCAGCCAGCAGGTTAGACGTGGGTTCAGAAGCCCTAGGCTAGAAGACTTCTTGGCTGAAAAATGGGGATATTTGCCTCTCAGGAGGCCTGTAGAAAGGTCTGTATACTTGAGGAAGAGGGCTGGCACAGGCTGGGATATGGAAAGTGATAATTTAGTTTAGTGGGGAAATGGGCTCCTCCAACCACTGACTCCAAATCACACACAGAGGGAGATGGCATACTTGTGGCTTTCCCTCCCACGCACTGATTTTTCTTCTCTAAATTCTGTGAGCAGGGACCGACCGCAAACGAGGCCGCCAGACCTACACGCGCTACCAGACCCTGGAGCTGGAGAAGGAGTTTCACTACAACCGCTACCTGACCCGCCGGCGGCGCATCGAGATCGCGCACGCGCTCTGCCTCACCGAAAGACAGATCAAGATCTGGTTCCAGAACCGCCGCATGAAGTGGAAAAAGGAGAACAAGACCGCGGGCCCCGGGGCTGCTGGCCAGGACAAGGCCGAGGCGGAGGAGGATGAGGAAGAGTGAGGAACAGCGACAGGGGAGAGGAAGAGAGAGATGAAAAAGGGAGGGAGAAGCCCAGCTCCGAGAACTGAACCAGGAAACTCAAATCAAACAGGGGTGGGAAAGCTATTTAAATGGAAAGCAGTTAATTTTTTTTTAAAGAAGGTGAAATTTTGGGTTCTTAACACTGAAGAAAAAAAACACACTACCTATAGAAAAGTCCGCAGGGTTTGTTTTGTACAATATGGAAGGACATCATCTACCTGTTCTGTAGCTTTCTGGAATTTGCCTCCCCTTTTCTATGTTGCTCTTGTAAGGTATTTGTAAAATCTTCCTGTTTTGTAAGCCTCCTTCGTTGATGCTATCTTTGTGGTCTGTGGGTCTGGACTAACGCGTGTTGTTCCCCTGCCCTCCTGAGCCCCCCGCCTTCCCAGTAGCTGCACTGAAGGGGCCTTAGGGAGCCCCCAGGACCCACCGACTAGCTCAGGTCCTCCCTGTGCACCTGGCCTGCCCCATGCTCCTTGCTCCCGCCAACCCCGTTGATCCTCTTTACATTCTATGTGTACCTGAAGAATGGAGAAATAAAACAATTGAAAATATAAATGGATACTCTATTTTCTATGTCTCCCTAGGTCTGGGAAGGGGTCAGGGTGAGCCATGTATCCCAGCACTCCTCAGCTCCAACTTCTGCCGCTGGTCCAGTTCTTACTGAGCTGGGGTCTGCTCTTTTTACTGGTAACCCTGCTCTGGTGGCTGCCAACTAGTGAGCCCTGATATCCTACACACACACACACACACACACACACACACACACACACACACACACACACTCACTCATTCCCTTAGCGTTCTTTTATACTGACAAATGCAAATGTACACAATCATACCTATTTACAGGTTGACATCACACATAAATATATACATTGTCACATACAGTCACAAAGAAACACCCATATTCATGTTCACAAACACACATACTTGCATTTACACATCCCAACTCCACGCCCAGGTACATGCATTCACATTCACATACACTCACAAGTAAACACACATTCACACTCACTCAGACTCACACACTCACAGACTCATTTATACATAGTAATGTATATTCACACATTGGCTTATACACAGATTCACATTCACCCCCCAAGTAAACATATCCATGAGCCCACATGCTCACACATTCTCAAAACCAAACCAAACTATGCCCCCACAGCTCTACAAACTTCCTCAGCCTGGCTTTCAACCTAGGCTGGGGCTTAGCGGTGCTGCTGGAGCACAAACAGAGCTGAAACGCAAAGTAGTGGGCCCCATACGGAGGAAGAGCGAAAGGAAAGGAAAGGCGACCACCCAAATCCACTCCTGCTTCTTGGGAAGCTTTGGGCAGAGGCCAGGCCGGCAGCAGACACCTCAGGGAGGCCCAGAGAGGCCTCCAACGCCAAGGCCTCCCCGGTCCCCCGCTCATTCGGCAAGCATTTTCCGTAAGAGCTATTGGTTATTTTATTTCCACTTATTTTACTTTCATTTATTTTAATTTATCTCTTCTAAATTAACACAGTGACCTAAATAAAACTTTAAAATGGGGGGAAAACTGAGCCCCGAGAGCGAGAACCTGAGCAGTGCGAATTTACCGGCTAGTGTGGCCGCGTCCGGGCGCTCTGAGACAACCGCGCCGCCCGCCCCGGCTCCGCCGGCTTCCTCCGAGCCTTTCAGGCGGCTCTCCGAGCTGCCGGCAACCTAAAATCTTTTTTCCGGAGCACAGACAAAGAGAGAAAAAGAAAAACATTTTTGGGGAAGGTTATTTCGTTTCGTGATTTGGGCGCTAATAACTTAATTCAAAATACGGGACTATTTCAGGGGAACTGGGAAACATGGCATAAATTTTGTTGCTCTTGTGTTGCTTTTGCTCCCTAAACACCCCCCGATTAAGGGATTAAAAACCCGGAAGTCGGTGTCTACGCAGCTAGACCTGCGGAGCTGATTTTTAGTATTTATTCTATTATAAACCCAGGATTATTTAAATTTAAAGAGCCGCACCGGACAGGATGCGGGAAGAGGATTGGAAGGGAAGTACGTTTTAGAATCTGTTTAATTTGAATTTGTAAGTAAAAGGCCCTTAAACCCGCAGTTTCTCCTTTAATGACAGAAGAACCCCCTGGAGAGCTCATGGAGTTGTCCTTGGGAACCCCGGTATGCCGGCATTTGGGCGGAGGAGGCAGGGATCCATCCGGCTTTAGCCTCCTCCAATTTTGGGGGTGCAGAGGCGAGAATCCAGTTACTACATTGTCCACCTTGGCCTCCATCAGGGCCACCTTTCCGCCCGAGGCGAAAACTAGGCCTTAGGGGATCTAGGGCCCCCACACCTGCGATGCTGCAAGCCTCACAGGTGGGGGGACCACCATCAATAGAGCTGGGAATAGGGGGGGAGTTCAGAGGAAAAGAGGGAGCACTGAAGCTTTCATTTTGTCTTGATGCAAGTGGCAACTCTGGACACCAGCTGCTGCTGCCGACTCACCCCCAAATTGGCTTAGAATGGTACTAGTGCGGAGGGTTTAGTGTGAATTTTTACTAGAAGAAGGGACAGAGCGCCAGTGAGAATAGGGAGGTTCGCAAAAGAACCCCCTTTCCTAGCTGAACCCTTGTGGCTCCTGCGCCTGATTTCCTGCACCCGAAATCTCACCACTTCTCAGATTGAGGTTTCCCCAAAAAGCGAGAAGGAGAAGAAAAGAAGATGGCGACTGAGAAAAGGGTTGCTGGTGGAGCAGCCATGAAGAAATGCAATAAATTCCTTGTTGTTTTATGAAAATTTACAACTTTGTGATAGAAGTTTATGAGTGGTTGAATCCAGCGATTGGCCGGCGCCGGTCATGTGGCCGGGCGATCGTGAACATGAACTTTTTATCATTTCCCTGGTGGTTATAATGCAGCATTCTTTTGGACACCACACCTAGGTCGGAGCACTGTCGTCCTTTAGGGCTCCAGCCTCTTGATATTTTTATACTTCAGTATCAGCTCGATAAAGCAAAAGAGAGAGAGGAAGAGAGGGAGAGAGGAAAGAAGAGAGGGGGAAGGAGGGGTGGGAATTACACAAAAGGGAGAACCAAAAATAATTTTAATTCCTAAGTTAATTTGCTTGCTGATCTGAGGTTTTAGTCATCATGAAGGGTAAATGGACAATCTGCCCAGGATCGCAGCCTGATACCATTTTTCAAAGCCAGAACTTACTCCATTTTCTATGCAAATATCAGAAAAGCGAAACACCCTCTCTTCCAAGTCAGAGAAGGGGAAGCGACGGCTCTCAGGTTGGGACAATATTATCTGGAGGATGAAGAAGAAACCGAACGCTCTTTTTTTTTCCCCCCTTCCTCCCCACCCCTTTCAATCGGAGGAAAGAAACCTTAAGATCTGCAAAGGTAAGGGAGATTCTACAATTCTCATTCTTTCGCCTCGATTTTGTAGGGGGTGGGGCTTGGGTTTGTCTTCCTCCTCCCCCAGTCCAAGACGGGGCTGAACCCCACCTCTGGGTGCTGCAGGGAGAGGCTTCCCAGGAAATTCGGTGGCTGAGAGAAGGGTGGCTGCTTCCTGGAGGGGGAGCCAAGGCAAGAAAAATGGGAGGAGGAACCGAAAGGGGCCACGGAGGCGAGCTCTAAGTCGCCTTTTTAAGCTGGGAGGAGAGGCTCAAGCGAGGGGGTTGCTAAAGAGGATGGGGGTGTCTAGGTGTCAGGGCGCCGGCAGAAGCCGGTTGTTACGGCCCCTGTGGGTTTGCGCCCCCTCCCCCTCCCCCCATTCCTCCCTCGTTCCGGCCTCCCCCAGTTGCCCTCGCGCGGTTCTCTTGCCCGGTTTGGGTATCGGCAGTTTCCCGGCAGCATTGGCACGAGGGGCGGTGGCTCTGAGGGACGTCCTGGTCTCTGGAGGGCCTGGAATCTCCGCAGAGGCCGGCGAGGGAGAGGAGGCGGCTAGAGAGACACAGAAAGGACAATTTACAGAGAAATGCTCATTATCTCCCTTCGGAGACTTTCTGAAATTAAAGGGCTGTAAGTGGAGGCACCCAAATCGAGAGACCCCCCCCCAGGAAGCCCGCCTGAGAATGCCCAGGTCTTTCGCCACTCCTGCAGGAGGGAACCTTGCTCTGCAGGGGGACAATTTTGTGGGTTTTTTTTTAACGCGGTAGGTTACAGCGTGTTGGTTTTTGTGCAATATTGATTCTATTGCTTGTGTTTTATTGGTATGGGATGTGTGGATTTCGGTGGAAGAGAAAATTGCCATGTGTGTGTTTGATGTGGAAATGTTTCAAACTTTCCTGGATCCAAATCTGGTAATTGTGAAGAAGCTGTTTAGCGTGTTGTTGTTTTAGGCTTGTAAACAAAAACAAAAAAGAAAAGAAAATAAGAAAATTCAATTAGGGGATCTAATGGTGTCCGGACTGGAAAGCTGCCTGGCGCTGAGCTCAGGCAGCTTGTCCTGTTCCTCCGGCGCCTGATTTCATTACCCAGCCAGGCCTCCTGGAGGGGGCGGGGGAGAAGAACCTTTGGGCCAGAGACTGAGATTCCTAAAGTAGCTTGGTTGAGTGCAAGAAGGCACAAGCCGCTAGGTGAGGATTTAAAAATAGAGTGAGAGGGCTTCTGCGGAAGCTGCAAGCCAAGAGATAAGAGACTTTGGGCGCGGAGGGCAGGAGAGACTGAATTGGTTTTGTTTGCATGAATAAGTGATTGCTTTTCTTTTTTTAAAGACCAGACGCAGAGCGTTCAGCCTCGGGTCTCTGGTTGCCCAGGGATTGCGGGGTCTGGTGATGTGGAGGGGAATATTGGTCCTTTCAATCCTGAGCTAGGAAGAGAGGGATGCAGCCACTTGTAGCGCGGGAGGGGGCCTTTGGAGGCCCAGGTAGATGCCCTCTCAGTCGGCCTGGACTGGGTGCCTGGAGGGACCCCTCGCTGTGTAGCCAGAGAAGTTCTCAGCCAGCACCCATGGCACTCGGAGCCTATTCTCAAAAGGAAAAATTCCCCAAACCCACCCAGACTAAAGGTCTTTTTCTCCTGTAGTCTCGACGGGGTATAAATCATCCCTTAGACAGTTCGCTCTGACCCAAATTATGCGGTTTGCTGCCATCTACCGTCTGTTCGGAGACATGCGGCTTCGGCAAGCCCCGCGATGCGCCTGAACCTTTCCGGACGCCTGGAGCCTGGCGGCTTAGGTTCGGTGGGATTTGGGGGACTTCGGGCCCAGATTGTCGCTTCCCACCGGATCTTGGTTCCCGCCCGCCGCCGTGTGGATTAGAGAACAAGAGTCCCCTACCGGTCGCCCTTCCCATCCCGGTTCCAAACCTGGCGGCTGGCTGGGGAAGCAGCTTTTTCTAGGGCATGTTTAAAGAGGACTAATGCTGCATCCCGCGGGCAGGGGGCCCTGAACCGAAGGGTTGGGGAATCACTGTCGCGAGCCCCCCACCCCACGCCGCAAGCGGGAGAGGGGATTATCCGTGCCGTTCGGGAGATCCGAGGCCAAGGCTGTTCAAGGTTTATTTGGTTTTCTTTTCGGCCAAGGGAGGGGCCAGCAGAGGAGGCGCCGGCCCGGCAGTTCCACTCGGTTGTCAAAAGACAACCCGGTCTGTGTTCTCCCGGTTGGCTTGTGGGTCTTGGCCAGTTCCTTGGCCGGTGAGTCCGCGATGAAGGAATTGAGCCGAGTTTTCTGGAAACTGTTGGTGTCTGCAAGTGAGTGTGGACCCCCTCCCTCATTCTCGATCGTTTCAAGCGAAATCGACACAAATATGCTTTGGGGGAAAATTGGGAGTAGGAGTGGAGATCAATCATTAAGGAGCCAAACCATCGTAATTTCCCTTCCTGCCGGACCCCTCACACCCGCTTTCCCAGAAGGGGTGGCGAGGGCGGGGGTCCTCGCCTCGGCTGCCGCGTTTGAATATTGGCCCCTGTCTCACCACGGGTTACTGATTAGCCCGGGCTTTCAAGCTGCAGGAGGAAGCTCTGGCCATTCCTTTCAAGGTGCTGTGGCCCCGGTTCCTGGGCGGGGGCTCCAGGAAATTGCCTGCAGTGCCCGGCAGGCCGAGGTGTTACCAGGGGTCTGGCCCGGAGCTGGAGGAGCTGCCGAGGTCAAGGGGCCCAGCGGTGCTGGGGGCAAACACGGCGTCTGCCGCCCCCGCGCCTTTAGCGCGGGGTAAGTCTGGGCCGCAGGGGCAGCCCTTTCAGCTTTTCCGCAGGGAGAATGACTTCCCAGAGGCTAGAAGGCTCGGCCCAGTGCGGGAGGCCACGAGGGAGTACGCCCAGAAAGTCTTGGGCCCCTCGGGGATTTTTTCTTCTGGGCAATCCAAAGAACAGATATGGAAGGGAAGGCGGCGGGTACAGTGTTGAAACACTTCAGGGATCTTCGGGTGCCGGCGGACCTGAGGAGGTGGGAACAGGGAGAGCGAGCTGAGCACCGCCGCCCACCCCATCCCTAGAGAGGGGACGTTGCCGCTCATTTGCATAATGGAAATGATGTCTTTGTACCGTTCTGGACCGGCCCATTTTAAGGGCCTGCCCCATCTAAACAGCTCCCAAAAGGTTGGGAGAGGCCACACTGCTCCCTCTGGGAACATTTGTGTTCCCCAAATCCAGAGAATCACAGATTTGGGTTGAGAGGTTTTAATTCGTCCCATCCTAGCCAGAGTTGGGAGTGAGGTGGGGGAAGGTGCCCACAACCCAAAGAGCTGGGGGTGGTTGGAGCTTTGTAGCTGAGAGGAGAAGGGAAGCCTGGACAATGTCTCCATCTCCCCTCCCCACCACACACATACAGGCAAATACCCCTCCCTGAGGTTGCTGGTACAGGAGAATCTTACTCCAGAGATGAACACAACCGAGACATTTCCCCGGGAGCTGGAATGTGCGCGTCCACAGGACCGCAGATTTGCAGCACAGAAAACTACAATTATAAATCCTGCCTGTGGGGTTTCTGTACCATCCTTCTGTTGTGTACTCAAGACTTGGTACACATTTATATCCATCTCCCCATACACACGCTGCCTCACGGAGGCAGGGAGAGACACCCCACACTGGCAGACGGGCGGTGCTGCTGTGTATTTACATATTCCCCCTTGGAGACAGACAGACGTGGGCGGCCGTGGACCGAACCACAGACAGATTCGTAGAGCTCTGGCTCCAGAAACCAGGCGGTCTCTGGCCCAGCTCTGCCCGCCTGCTCTTTCTCCCAAACAAACGGATCAGAGGAATAAACGCTCATAAATACCTCTGAGCTTAGATAAGAGCGATGAGGCGCTATTTCCTTTCATGCTGGACTCCAGGCGCCCAGGGCCTGCCTTTGCGGCTCCATCTCAGGACAGGCAACCTGCAGAGGTGCGGGTAATTTGGGGCTATGACTCTAAGGATAAGGCGATTATTTTCCTGCTTCTATATCACAGAGGAATCTTACTTTGTCCAGGCTCCACAGGCAAGCCCAAACCTTCCAGTCCTAAGATGGGGACATTGTGGCCAGGAAGGAGGCAGGGAGGACTGAGGCCCAAGGCCCAGCCTCAGTGACAGAGAAGGGGGAGGTGTATCTAGGCACTCTCCCACCTTGCTCCCACTGCCCAAATGTTCCCCATTCTTCTTCAGGAGTGGGCCCAATCACAGCTAAATTGGAGCATTTATGATTCTCCATCATTAGGCGGCTTGAGTTTATTTTCTTACATCTTGATTAAACGGCCATAGAATCAGGCTAGGAAAGGATCACCACTTGGTCATGAAAGTGGAGCCTAGAGGTTGTCCTGAATTCAGGAAGCCTTGTAGGCCACTTTACAACCATTCGAGTTCCTGCCCTTATCACCAAGCTCAGCCCTCTACTATTTTCCCTAGTGTCTTGTATCATCTTCAGTGGGCAGAGCTGGCCTACCAAGTGGAACCCAAAGGGCAAGGTAGAGAGGAAGCTAAGCCTGGCCCCTTCATCAGATTTTGTCTCATAACCTGGCCCATTCCTGGCCCCAGGTCCAAAGGTGGCTACCCTTTAATGCCTGGCCACCCTATGCATATTAGAATGTTGAAAAACACATTGTGGCTGAGTCCTCCAGCCTGGCTTCAATGTTCGTTTTCCTTAGATGAGCGAGCCAGAGAGATATACTCTCTCTTACACCCAAACTTGAACCCCAGCAAAGCTGGTGATACAAACATGAGATGCGGGAAGGATTGTAGAAATGCTGAGAGACAGAAGACTGGCGAGCATCTGGAGAGGGGATGCTGGCTGATAGTTGTAAGCTGCCTGCTAAGTCCCCAGGAGGACCCAAACACCCTTCCCTCTTAATAAAACTAACCCATAATCAAGTCTTGGGAAATAATTAATTTAAAAAAGAACTGGCAGCTTCTGGAGAGACTTGGAAAAGGTGCAAGGGCTTCTCTCTTCCCGGCGGTCTCTGATCACCTCAAATATCAGAAGGGTTTGAGGACCCTAAATTGAAGGACCAATTTCTTTCCTATATCCACTTTCTGAGGCAACCTTGATTCCTAAGAATCTGTAGCCCAGGATATTCTTATGTCTTTTCGGGGTAGGATGTAGGGGTGAGGTGAGGGTTGCAGGCAGTATAGGGATCAGAAAATCCATATCCCCAAGTGAGGAGAGGGCTAATCCCTTTCCCCAGTGTCCCTTCCTGTGCCAAGAGCAAGTGGTGCATACTAGAACCAGGCGAGATGTCTTGGGCAGCAGCAGCCTCAGCCTTCCAAGAAGCTCCTAGCCTAGCTGCAAAGGCAGGGGGAGAAGCTTGGGCTCAGACCCTCCTCCTGTTTCCCTGCCTTCGAGTCTTCTGGGCAGCAGGCCCTGGCCTGCCCCTCAGACCATAAGAGTTGCGGAGAAGCAGGAATAATGACCCTAGGCTTGGAGGAGACAGAGTAAATCTGAGAAACAGAAAAAAAAAACGGTTTTCAAAACCTGGGAAGGAGATGGTTTCTTCTTCGTCTCTCTCTTTCTAAAAACGATGCTAATTAGCGGAGAACTCTTCTCCCCTTCGACCGACACAAAACCTTAGAGACAAACCTTCTCCTTTAGTTCCCTCCTAGCCAGATTGAAATTTGAGATTCAGGGATGGTTACCCACCCTTCCTTTGAGGGAATGGGGCTCAAGCAATGCAGGGGTTAACTTTTCTGAAAACACAATTAACTTTTCCCTATCCTGCGTGGGGAGGGGAGGGATATATTTATTTAATCACTGGGGGGTGGGGTGGTCTCAATCCAAAGCTCCCTCCTCCCGCAAAGGCACAGACGCCTCTTTCGCAGATCCTACGTAGGTGGAACAGGACGCGTCGGGTTGTTGGGGAGAGAGAGAGAGAGAGAAAGGAGAAGGAGGAAAAAAAAGGTTGATAGGTTTGTGCGCGGGTCCCTCGTGCGGGCTGCGCTCCTCCTGGGTGCTATTTGACAATTCCTGCCTCTGCCATTGGTCAGTGTTGGATCAGATGGTTGTATTTCCTTCTGGCCCTCACTGGCACCTCGCCATCCCCCCTCAGCTAAAACCCAATCTCAGATATACTACTAATAGGCGCGGCGCTCGGACTATAAAACACAACAAATCATAAACCCGGCGGAGCAGCAGCGGCCGTGCGCGCCTCCCTCCCAATGAGTTCCTATTTCGTGAACTCCACCTTCCCCGTCACTCTGGCCAGCGGGCAGGAGTCCTTCCTGGGCCAGCTACCGCTCTACTCGTCGGGCTATGCGGACCCGCTGAGGCACTACCCTGCGCCCTATGGGCCCGGGCCCGGCCAGGACAAGGGCTTTGCCGCCTCCTCCTATTATCCGCCGGCGGGCGGCGGCTATGGCCGAGCGGCGCCCTGCGACTATGGCCCGGCGCCGGCCTTCTACCGCGAGAAGGAGTCGGCCTGCGCTCTCTCGGGCGCCGATGAGCCGCCCCCCTTCCACCCGGAGCCGCGGAAGTCCGACTGTGCACAGGACAAGAGCGTGTTCGGCGAGCCCGAGGAGCAGAAGTGTTCCACGCCCGTCTACCCCTGGATGCAGCGGATGAATTCGTGCAACAGTGAGTGAGACTCCGCCGTCGCTGCGACCCCTGCGGGCCCCCCATTCGGGAGACAGAAGTAGCAACCCCCCATTCTCCAACTGGATGCGGGGTGGGCATCTCAGTTAGGAGCGAAGGGAAGATGGGGCGCCTGCACTGGGGCTTCTGCTCTGTCCTCTCGCCTCAGTTGTTACAAAGTTTGCAAAGTCCCAGCCGCACTTGGAGGCAGGGTGGCAAGTGGGTTCTCGGGGAAGGCAGGCCAGAGCAGGGATGGTGGGTCAGGTAGGGGGCAGGGGCAAGGGCCGCAGTCACGCGCTTGGCTTTCCCTTGCGCCCCCAGACCTGGTAGGGTCCCCCATCCAAAGACTGTTCTATTAAAAACCGAGTGCGTCACGGGAAGGGGGGCGGCGTGACGCTGGCGAGGGAGAGTGGACTTGTCCCGGCCTCTGTTTCCCTGGGGGTGGGGGGCTGGGGAAAGATGAGGCACCAGGAAAGGGGCGGTAGTCAGAAGAGGGAGGGAGAATAACGGGAAGAAAGAGAGGGGGAGCAGGCGGAGGGGGAGAGTGGCAGAAGCAAGCGCCTGGGTCTCAGGTTGGATTATTTGTCGGCCTTAAGTCCCAAATTGATGTCCATTAGCGGGACACGAAAGTGAGGAGCCGTTAATGCCGACTATGGATCGATCCACGTCATTACGGATTAAGGGCCGGAATCTATCACACGGTGGTGAGGGAGCTAGAAGGATGGGGGGAAAAGATCCGGCCAGGAAGAGACACACCTGGCCAGTACTTTCCCAGCCCCTCCCCCTAGACTCAGGTGGGATTTTAGACTGCTCCTCCCACCCCCCACCTTGAGTCGAGACCGGAATCGCAGGCCTAGGAGACCCGTAGGGAATCTGGAGGGGGCGCTGGAGGGTGAGGAAGGGGGGGGGGCGGCAGGGAACGCGAGATTGGAGGGCATCCCGGGACAGGCTGGAGTCCTTGTTTGAGAGTCGAGTGGGGGAGGGGGACTCTAGCCCTAGTGACCTCAGGCCTCAGCATCTCCTCTCTGCGTAACAGGTTCCTCCTTTGGGCCCAGCGGCCGGCGCGGCCGCCAGACTTACACGCGCTACCAGACCCTGGAGCTGGAGAAGGAGTTTCACTACAACCGCTACCTGACCCGCCGGCGGCGCATCGAGATCGCGCACGCCCTGTGCCTGACCGAGCGCCAGATCAAGATCTGGTTCCAGAACCGCCGCATGAAGTGGAAAAAGGAGAGCAAATTGCTCAGCGCATCTCAGCTCAGTGCGGAGGAGGAGGAAGAAAAACCAGCGGAGTGAAGGCGCTGGAAAGGGAGGGGGGAAGCGAAAGGAGAGGCCTGTGGGGAGCCGTGGGCATCGGAGAGCCCTGAGAAGGCTCTGCAGGCGGGGGAGCCCGGGGACCTGCTCTCCAGCACAGACAGGTGGGGCCCAGCGCTCTCCTGGACGCCCCCGCCTGCAGAGCTCTCGCTAGGTGCTTGGGAGGCCGTGCCTCCTGAGCCCACCCAGACCCCTCGCGCCCTCTCTATCCCCGTGGAACCCGCCTCAGCCCGATCAGCCCCTCACCCCGTGAGAACTGAGGACCGGACTCACTCGATGTTTCCTGGAAGCAGAGCAAAAAACACTCCTGTCCGTGTCGCGTCTCATTTCGTCCATGTCCCCCGTGCACGGTTCAATGGTAGCTTCACAGTCCCCTCAGCGGGGGCCTCGAAGACTCCCTGATCCCAGACCTCTCTCCTACCCCCTCCCCAAAGCCACTGGAAGGAGCACATACTACCTAGAAGTAAGAAGAGGAGCCTCAGAAGAAAACAAAGTTCTATTTTATTAATTTTCTATGTGTTGTGTTTGTAGTCTTGTCTTAGCTCGGGACGTGAAATACTTCGGTAATAATATTAATATTATTATTAATGATGATAATAATAAAGAAGTAAAAACTCGCCGCTCAGTCACCTCTGCTCCTCCCCTGCCACTTCCCCACCCCCACAGCCACCTTGTGGTCCCTTGCCGGAAACTCCGCAGCAAAGGCAGGAGCCTGGTAGGCCCCAGCGGGCCCGACAGGACTCGGAAGTTACAGTTGAGATAAAGGCTGGAGCCGCCCTGCCCATGCTCCAGCGCTGCACCTCGCGGGTGCTGAGGGTCTGAATAGCCTCTCCAAGTGCAGACTTGGGGGAACGAGAAAGGCCGTTTCCCTCCTGTTCTCTAGCTTTTTCCTCGTTTGTCCCTGGCACGAGGGACACCACGGAGGCCTCCTAGCCAAGAGCCCCTGCAGAGACTTAACCAGGCAGATCTCGCGCCTGAGCAGCGCTTTTCTGTCCTCCTGCTCACCCGGGCCGTGGCCTTTGGCCTGCCCACATGGCCTGGTCTACCGCCGGCCTTGGCCCTCGGCTCCTGGCCTGTGGCTCCGGAGACCAAATCAGGGCCGCGGGGTATCTACCCGCAGCTGAAAGCTCCAGGCTCCCCTTTCTGCCTCAGTAGGAGCTTAGCGACAAGTAGAATGCGAAGCCACAGGCAGGCACTGGCTGAAGGGCATGACTTTCCCCTGCTCATTGGAGACCTGAGGGTAGGAAGCTAGGTGATCGGGCAGTTTGGTCTCATCAACTCAAACAAAAACGACCATTCTCTCCCACCCACACCCAGGCGGCAAGCTGCGGACACTGTTTTCCTTTCTTCCTCCTCCCTCTCTCCCTTTTTTATTTTTAAAGAAAATAGCCGCCCGGCAGAAGGGGCCCAGCTGCGGCGGTCTTTGGCTGCGCGAAGCGCTCAGCAAGGCGCCGCCGGTCCTCGGAACCCCTTCTTGGGGAAGGCGTTGGCCGCCGGGAACATTACTGACACTACCCAGACGCCCGCGAGGGTCCTTGAGCAGGGCCTCCCGCTGCAACAGCGGGTATCTGATGCGGAGGCGAAAGGATCCTGCCTTGATCCCAAACTCTGAAAACCGCATTTCCACCCAAACACCAGACGCCGACGCGGTCGCCGCTACCGTTTTCCCCACAGCTAGGCCTCTTAACCCCAGGCGTGCTTGTCCTCTGGGGTCTCTGTCCTGCTCTGCCATTCCCCAGGCTGGGCTAAGGATGAGGAGGTGGTCCGGAAAAGGATTCCAAACTTCTAAGGGACGTAGGTGAAGCGAAAGTTTCTCCTTCGAGCCCTTGGCCCAGCCCTGCCGGCTCTGCCTGGGCGCTGTGAGTGGGCCACGGCAGCCCGGTTAGGAAGACCAGCCGGAGCTCTCGCGGGGGAAAGGGGAGGAGGACCCCCGTGGCAATAATTGTTTTTTACACACATCTTTCAACCTTGTCCCCCATTTCCGCCCTCAACTCAGAGACTTGCAAAACCCGAGTAAAGGAAAAGCAACTCAATGTTTGATTCATCTCATCCAGAGTTAAAATAATAGTGACAGGGAGAAGAACACAAATAGAAGTAATCCCACTCTCGAGAAAGTGGATAAAGGCTCAACCGGTCTCTCTTCTAAAAGACTCAACCCTGCGGGTGAGCCTAGGCCGGGTTTCTTTCTCGCTTGGCGGTTGCGGGGAGCCAGCAGGGAGGCAGTCGTCGCCGCCATGGCAGTCTGGGGCCCGCGCTCCCGCCGATCACCGGGAGGTGGCGCGCTCTGCTCAGAGGCCGCCGCCAACCTTCTCCCTGTTTCTCCCCCTTCTTTTTTCCCCCTCTCTCGGAGGCTCGCATTGAATCGGCCCTAACGATTCTCGGATCGTCATTATTTGTAACCATAGAGCATGAATTACCTCTTGAGGTCATCAGCGAGAATTTACGACTGGTCAACAAAAGCACGTGATTCCCTAACGCCCCCCCATCCCCCTTCCAACCCCCCCCCTCATATTTGGCCGCATACATAGCAAAACGAAGTACAGTGCATCGCTATAATTCATTAATACATCATAAATCGTGAAGCACAGGGTTATAACGACCACGATCCACAAATCAAGCCCTCCAAAATCACCCAAATGAGCTCGTACTTTGTAAACTCCTTCTCGGGGCGTTATCCAAATGGCCCGGACTATCAGTTGCTAAATTATGGCAGTGGCAGCTCTCTGAGCGGCTCTTACAGGGATCCCGCTGCCATGCACACCGGCTCTTACGGCTACAATTACAATGGGATGGACCTCAGCGTCAACCGCTCCTCGGCCTCTTCCAGCCACTTTGGGGCGGTGGGTGAGAGCTCGCGCGCCTTCCCCGCGCCCGCCCAGGAGCCCCGCTTCAGGCCAGCGGCGTCGAGCTGCTCCCTGTCCTCGCCCGAGTCCCTGCCTTGCACCAACGGCGACAGCCACGGCGCCAAGCCCTCTGCCTCGTCCCCCTCCGACCAGGCGACCCCGGCCAGCTCCAGCGCCAATTTCACCGAAATAGACGAGGCCAGCGCGTCCTCGGAGCCTGAGGAAGCGGCGAGCCAGCTAAACAGCCCGAGCTTAGCTCGGGCACAGCCAGAACCCATGGCCACCTCCACAGCCGCACCCGAGGGGCAGACTCCGCAGATATTCCCCTGGATGAGGAAGCTTCACATCAGCCATGGTAATTCTCGCTCTGGCTCTTTTTTTTTTTTGTCTTCTCTGCGTTTGGGGGTGGGGGGTGGGGAGGAGGGCAAGGAGAGCTTAGCTTTTCCTCGAATATAGATTTATTTTTTTCCAGGGGGGAGAAGTCTCTAAGAAGGTCCTCACGGCTCGGGGGACAGAGCCAAAGGTCTTAGGCTGGGGGATTGGGGAGGAATATTTTTAATAATTTGTTCCCAGACTCGGCTTACGTTTTATTCGCCTAGCTTGTATTAGCTTTCAGATGAAGGATCGATCGGGTTTATGTAAGGTGGGGAAGGGTCCTGCTTACCCCCGAAATTTTGAGACTGCCGCCAGCAAAGAAGGGGCAAGCAGTCAAACGAGCTTTCCAGGGCAAAAGTGCAGCCGCTCTGCTCCCTCCCGGGGCCAGCGGCCGCCTGAGCCCAGCGAAGGGTGAGGCACAGGGAGGGAGACAGAGACAAAGCCGAGCGCTTTCGCTGCTGGCAGAAGTGGGGTCTGCAGGAGAAGGGGGTGCAGAAAGCGAGCTTGGATGCGGGGCATCTGGAGTGGGGAGGATTGGAGCTGCCGTGAGCTGGGGGCCGGGGACGCCTGGGTCCTGCTCCACGCCCCCCTCCCACCCAGTGCCCCCTCCTTTAACCGGAATAACGTTGCCTCGCGGGCTCTATTCTGTCTGCTCCAGATATGACCGGGCCAGACGGGAAAAGGGCCCGGACAGCCTACACCCGCTACCAGACCCTGGAGCTGGAGAAGGAGTTCCACTTCAACCGCTACCTGACGCGGCGGCGGCGCATCGAGATAGCCCACGCGCTCTGCCTCTCGGAGCGCCAGATCAAGATCTGGTTTCAGAATCGGCGCATGAAGTGGAAGAAAGACAACAAACTGAAAAGTATGAGCCTGGCCACAGCCGGCAGCGCCTTCCAGCCCTGAGCCCTCCGGGAGGAGTCCTGGGTGGCCCAAGTGCCCGTGCCGCCCCCAGCCCTGGCCCCTCTGAGCCTCCCCACGCTGCCGCCGCCCGCTGGGGACCGGTTCCCACGAGCCTGCCTTGCCCTGGCCTTGTGTTACGATTTTTCGTTTGGTCTTAGGTCTTCCTGTGGCTCCCTCTCTCCTGAACTGGTTAATCTTGTTATTATTGTTAATAATAATGATAATTATTATTTTCCCTCCATGCTCCTCACTCCCCTCCACTCACCCCAAATCCACCAGTGTTTCTGAATGTTCGTGTCTGTGGTTGCACTCCTTCCCCCAGGAAGAAAAGAAACTCGCATGTTTAATGTGAACTTTCCCCTCCCCATCTTGTTCTTCTAACTTATTTATAAAAGGATGATCGCTGTATTTTGAGTTTCAGCTTGAAACTTCTCTAAGGGGCAGCAGTTGAGGTGGGGTGGTGCCGCAGTACTGGGGCCCAGCTGAGCTGGCCTCAGAGATGGAGTCCATGACTGACTCTTTCCACCCTCCTCTTCCTCCTCCACCCTCTCTACTCCCTGGGCCCAAGTCTCCCAGTGGCTTGGTTCTAGGGTGGGAAGCGGCCAGGGAGGACCAAAGGGGTGATGTTGAGAAGAGGGAAGGTAAATAGTGAGATTTGAGTTCCTGCCACCTGGGTAGGCCCCACAAGGCCTGATCTGGGAGTGTATGGAAACAAAAATAATCCTCGGTGTAAAATGTCTTGTGTATTTCTCTGTGAATCCATGGGTCTGGTGTAGAGGGCCCAAAGCTTATAAATATGGGGGTAGTCTGGGTCAGACCCATCCCTTCCCCCCTAACCCATTTCGCTTCCAAGACCATTTGTAGTGAGCGAGTGGACGCTGTGCTACGTGTGAAATCTGTCTTTGCCCAGCCTGTCTCAGTGATTCGCTTTTGGTATTTGTTTGTAGCTTTCCTTGAAGTCAAATAAATGTTTCCCTTACTCCACTGCCCTTCCACTTGTCTTTTCTCTGGGAGCCTGCATCTCCCATCACAGGGCACACCCTAGACCATTCTTGATAGAGCTGGGGTGTAGGGAAGGGAAAGCTCACCAGCAGCCTCTCTCAGCCACCTAAGTCCCTGGCTTGGTCAGTGTTGCTTGGACCAGAGGACAGGCTTTCATGCCTGGAAGACTTAGAGGCCCAGAAACCCCACATGGGGCTGGAGCAAGGGAAAGGCTAAGCTGGACTCCACCCTGGCCTTCCAAAGCCAGCCAGAAAAGTGTCAGGAAACCTCTTCAGGAAAAGTAATTTGGGCCTAAGTCCTGAGCAGGAAGCTCCTGGCCAGATGAGAGTGGCACAGGCCTACCCAACCCTCTGTCCCCTGCTTCAAATCCCAATGCAGCTCTGCCACCCACTAAGGCAAAAAAAGAAAAGAAAAAAAAAAGAATCAGCTAGATTTCAAAGGTTTCTTCTCACCCTCAGTCTTCTCTGCACCTATCCAAGGCTCCCTCTCTCCAGCAGCCTAACTGTCCTTCCCTCTTGATTAGGAGTTGGGTCCCCCCTGGAAGACCCCTGATTCCCCCTACAGCCAGACTGGCCTAGGGCCAGGGCCCAGTCCTTCTCCATCCAAATCAGCCTCCACCCTAAGCACAAGAGTCAAGTCTGGACACTTACCCGTTCAATCCCTTCCAGCTTGGCCCAACTTCTTACAGGACTTGGGGGGAGGGGAAGCTGGTGAGGAGAAAGCCGAGGGTCGTGGAGGCTCTACTGGGCCCTCCTTCCCCCCTCACCCCTTAACTTTGTCCCCCTTTGTCCATAGCAAACTATCCCAAAAGTCGCTATGACATTTAGATGTCAAATGGATAGGGGTTTTATCTCGAAGTTAGATCGTAAAAATCGCCGAGAAGTCAGACAGATACCCCTCACTGGCTCGAGAAAGTCACGTGAGGTCCATAAAGTTAGTTTTATGGTTTTGGGGAGTTGACACCGCGCGGTATATTTCACATTCTCCAGAATGTTAAGTGACACTTTAACTGCTCGCTGTGGTGGGGAAGGGGGCAGAGGTAGGTGAGGGCTCTCCCAGCCCAGAAGGCAGTGGCGGCAGCCGAGAGGCCCAGCACTCCCGCAGTAAGTCGCTTCCAGCTTTCGCTTTTTCCCCTTGCAGTTTTGGGGCTTGGAACTGGGGAAGGAAATCTTGCCTCTGGCAGGGCTGTAGGATGATAAGTGGGGGAAATTTAGTCTGCTTTTTGCACCAAGTTCTGACAAGCTGGGTGCCTGAAGTAGGGGCACCCAGTTCGATAAGGCCTCAGCAGTTGGGGGTGCCTGATTTTTATTTGCAATAGTATCTGACTCATTGTGGGGGAAAGGGCTTGTGTGGGTTCCTTCAGTGCCCTTGGAAATTTAGGAGGTAAGAAGAAGGGGTGTGTACTGCTGAAAGAAGGGCCGCTTGTGGGGCCACTTCACTGCTGGATATCTTCAGACAGACATCTCCCCAGCCCCAGGAAAGAAACTTTATGACATTCATTTGTCAGGGGTGTGTGGGGGCGCGCCGCTGGGCACTTTTATCTGGATACATCTGAGCTGAGAAAAAGCACCGGGAAGGTAATCCAGCTGCTGTGAGCTGCCTTGCACTGGGGCACTTTCTGGTTTTCAGATCTTTGAACCCCATGAAAGGGGGTACCTTCGGTTCTCCATGGCCTCATCAGGGCTATCCAGGATGGGGAGCATGGTGCTTTTGCATTCCACTTTAGCCTCCTGGTCACAAGCTAACCCTTTTGCTTGGCTCTAAGTAGGGTCCTCAGGTCAGGGTGGAGAGCGGATAGAGGAGGGGCAATGTCCTCAAATCCAAAACCTAATTCCTGGCCAGGAATGGATGGAAGGGGAGAGCTTCTCCCCTTGCCTAGCGGAATTAGGTGTTTAAGTAGATCCATGGAAATCCCTCCATAAATAAAACTCACTAGAGAAAATAGACCCTCAGCTGTCAGCAGGGAAAAAGGGACTCAGGAGCTGGGAGAGAAAATTGGAAAGGTGCTGTCTTTTCTCCCCTCTCCTTTCCTCTTCTCTCCCCACCATACTCTTAAAAGCCTCTGTTTTGGGGTACCACACACCAGAGGGATTTCATTATTTGACCCTCAGGGGCCTGTTTTTTTTCCCCCTAAGGATCAGTTAAACTTCTAAAAACCAGAGGCCCCTTCACCAAATTGACTCCCCAATTTTAAGACCGATAGGGTCAACCACCCTGTCACTCCGGCTTTTCCCAGCCCGCCAGCTCTTGATTCAGCTTCCCAACTTCCGTAAATAGTGCCTGGAATTGGATATGTGGCACCTTAAGGGATTTCTGATCTTTGGGATAAGGAGAGGGCCACCAGATTCCCTCTATTTCGCGTTAAAGGACATTTCCACTCTCTTCCTTTTTCCTCTCTCCTGCAGCGGCTCTCTGTTCCCTGAGTTCGTGAATCCCTGCCCAGGCCTGCCTTACAGGAGGCCCTTCACAGGCTCTGAGAGCAAAGAGGACAGACACCTTGGGGTCGTCTGCCTGATTTGAAGGCATAGCTCCCCAAGAGTGATGGAGCATTTGTATCTCCTGAGAAGGAGGCTCTGCTCAGCTCCTAAAAGGTTCCTAGCACCATATAAAATACTAGTAAATTTGCAGGCAAAGCTTCCACAGGCTTCCACTCTGGACAAGGCAAATGAGTTGAGTGAGGTGCAGAGGAAGCATGCTGCAGGGACAGTACCCCACCCGGGGCCTCCTGGGAAGCCCCATCCTGTTGTGCCCCTGGCCTCCCTCCCTCAGAAACCCCAGACCACCAGGCCTGCCTCTGAAGATTTTTTGCCCCCTCTCAGGTCAGCTCTGTGAACTCTGATAAAGAGTGTGTAGGGTGGGAGGCCTAGGGACATCTGCTGGGCATATCTTGACTGATTTTCCAGAATGGCGAAGAGCAGCCTGGGGTGCCCATTTCACAGCGGAGGCCAAAACCCTTGGAGGGTCTCCTGTTCCAAGCGGATTTTGGAGAAGAGGCCCTAGCTGGGCTTTCCTCTTCCCCACTTCAGGCTGTCTGGACAACAGTCTCATTTGAACCCCAACAAGGACGCGTTGGGGGAGGAGATGAGAGATGAGAAGAGGTTCCTGGTGCAAAGGAACTCTCCCCTGTCCCAGACCCGCGCTCTCTCCTCCCGCCTTCCCGAAGACATTCTCCGGGAAAGCGGCTCCTCTCGGTCCTCTCCAACCCGCTTTCTGTTAGCTGGGTCCAGGTCTCATCCTTCTGAGCTGGAGGGTTGTACCATCTGGCCAGAACCTTGCGCCCAGCCGCCCAGCCGCCCAGCCGCCGCGCACCCTTGACCTGCGGCAGGGCGGAGGAGGCGGCAGCAGGGCCTTAAGACTGCAGTTTCCCTTTCCCCTCCGAGGCCAGCCTGACCACCACTCAGTAGACAATCCGATTTTTTTTGTTTTGTTTTATTTGGTTGTTTTGTTTTGTTTCTCCGCGGCCACGGGGTGGGAGGAAGTATGAAGAAGTGTAAACAGGAAAGGCAGCCGGGCTAAGAGTTCCCAGCGCCCATATTTCATCGGCTTCCTCTCCATAACTGCAGCGGGGACACTTAACCCTTCCCTGGCTGTGGGAGCGTATTCACTAGGGGCTAGTGGGGCAAGGTGTGGGGAGGAGTTCCAAGTGGACGCTCCTCTCCCTGCTTGGTTTTATCCCTGGGGTCTGGATGCTGGGGCAGAAGGCCAAGGATTCAGAGCAAGGGAGAAGACAGTCCGCTGAGCACAATCCCCCAAACTCAGTCCCTTTGGGACAGAAAGGAGAAGGCTCATGGGCTTCCCATCCTGGGAATCAGGAGTGCCAAACAAGGAGGACAGTGCTGGCAAAAAACTCCTGTCCTTCGTTAGGGGGAGAGCCCACTGGTCACTCGCTCCATTTTGGGAGATTCTAGGAGTAATGGGATTTCAGGCTGGGATCTGCCCACAGCGGGATTTATCGATTTCTTCGGCACAGTTACACATCCATATTAATTAACCCAGACATCGCCGGGAAACCCAGCTCTTTGGGGAGGGAGAGAGGAGAAATGGGGGCCTCTTAAGAAGCAGGGATATATCTTCCTAAGCACCCTGGGGCCCAGATTGGAGAGTCGTTCCCCACAAGAATCATGTGGCCTTCCCCAAGCTCGAAGTCCTTGCCCTTCTCAGCAGGGATAAGCCTGACGCCGCACTCTCCACAGTCCGACCCCACATCAAATCTCCAGGGTGGTGGTGGTGGTGGAATTAAACACCTCCAAGACCTGATTCTTCCATGTCAGAATTAGGTTGCTCCAGCCCTTGGATGGATGGATCGTCTAGTGGATGTTCCCAGCGCTACCTTTCTAGAAAGGTTAACACGGGCTCCCCAACCTTTATTTCAACTTCCCCAAGGTAGAAGCTTTTCCTGGCTTTTAGACTTGTTTTGTTTTAGTGTTTGGTGGTGGGGTAGTGATGGCTTTTCCCTTCCTCCTACCCCTCCCACCAAAAAGTGATTAAAATCTGTTAAAGGATTTAATTAAGAGAGTTAAATGAAAAGGAAGGAGGCGCAAATGAGTTGGGGGAAAAAACCCACACCAAAGCTATTCTCAACGATTAAATCGCCATTTTAACAATATAATGGAGTTTGCATCCTGAAAGGGGAAATCAACGCTCATATCTCATCAATAATTCATAGAGTCCGGGATCACACAGAGGTCAGCAGACGGGGCCGGAGCGCCGGCCTACTTGGGGCTGCCAGCCGCTGCCGCATACATTACATGCTGCCGGTCGCACCGCCACTGCTACCTTCACCAGCTCCGGCCCCGGCAGGGTCACGCGGACAGGTTTAGGCGGATTTTGCATTCTTTCTTTTGGAGAATTTACTGAGATCCAGATTTCGGGCTCCAAGAGGAAGTGGGGGATTTAGGAGACTGAAGAGGATTGGACTTCGGGCAATTTGGGACCTGTAGGACCCCGAATATCACCACCTTTCCAAGTTTTAATCTCTCTTTGTCCCTTATTTCTCCGTGTCTCTGTTTTAGGCATCCTCTGTCCTGTCTCTTCTCTCCACAAATTTCCTCTCGTAAAGGAAAATGAACTCTCTGCAGCATCTTCTAGCTTTTCCTCTCAGGAAACGCTCCCTTCTTTTTTATGTTGGCCTGCGCTCTGGCCTTGTTCTCCAAGTGGATTCGGGTTCAGCCCCGAAGGCTGTGATCTGGCTGTGGCCTCGGAGCTCGGGTCGGCTTTGGTTGCAGGTTCCCTTACTGACCTCGGAGCCCTGTGGGTTAGAGATGAATGAGTCTAGCGAGGAAAGGTACCTTATAGGCCCCAGTCGGGCTTGCCTAACTAAGAGACGACCCAGGCCAAGTGGAAAGGAGGGGATTCGCCCTGGAAAGCAGCGTTTAGGGGAGAAGTGGAGGGAGAGTCCCAGCATATGGGAACGTCTCTTCTTGGGGGGGTTGCAGGCAGCAGGGAGGATAATCCGTTTCCTGGAGTTTCTGCAGGCTTGTTTCATTCTCTTTCTCTCTGAGTGTGTCTCTCTAACTTGTTCTCTCTTTTCTGTTTTCCGACTCCCAAGGGTCCCTAGGGAAGGAGGAACAAAATCCTTCCTTGTGAGAGGTGGGGGGCCTGGGAAGTGATATTTGGGAGGAAGGGAAACTGAGAGACCTCAGGTCGCCCCCACGGCTGCTGCGCTGGCCGAGAAGCAGAGGCTGTAACGTCCCCGAGCTGCCAGTAGAGTCCGCCTTAGACCAAGTTCACAGCCAGGCTGGGGCCTGCGAGGCGCCGGCGAAAGGCCGCGTAAGGTGGTCCCGAGCCCGCTGGGCCTCGCATGGCTGGATACTGAAGGCTT